GGGGGTGGGGAGGGGGGATGATAGGGATAGGGTTGTTGGGAGGGCGAGTGGGCCGTTTGCGCAGGCGCCTGAGGCGGGAGGTGAGTTTGTGGGGAGAGAGAGATTTGGAGGTGTGAGGCTAATATGGTGCGCAGATAAACGAGGGGGGATGTTTGGGCCGGGGAGTGGGATGAGGTCTGGTGCTGGTGGTGGCGGCGCGGGTGGTGGAGGGGGCATGAGGATTAAAACTGATGGCGGTGGATATAGGAGTGGAGGTGGGGGTGGAAGTGGAGGAGGCGGAGGGGGTTGGAGTGGAGGTGGTGGAGGCGGTGGCGGAGGTGGATACAGCGAGCCTGTCTATCCTGAAGAACTGGAAGAGGGTGATGATATCGCGCCACGTACGGATATCGAACATATCAATCTGATCAGCGACGACGAGGGCGATGTTGTCACAGGACAATCTCGGGCGAGGAAGGGCAAGGGCCGCGCGGGCGGACATGCGATGAACCCCATTCGACTTACGAGGCATGAGCATAAGGCGCGTGTTATGCTCGTCAACACAGATTCATCGAGTGGTGAAACAAAGGTCGAAGTGGAAGAGGAGGTCAAGGTCGAAGCCCCCGAGGAGGGTGGCCTATTCGTCCCACAAGAGGAGCCAGTCGTGAAGAGCGAGCCAGGAGCCCAAGATGCCGGGGCGGATGAAATGGAAATCGATGCCACACCCATGGCCGACATCCAAGCCGGCGCTGAAGCCGAAGCATCACCATCCACCGCACAAGAAACCCCCAAGCCAGCGCCTGCCACCGCACCACAGCGACCCTCTGCCTTCCTCGCTGCCAACGCCAAGAAGCCCGTTCTTCAAACCGAAGAAGATAAACAAGAATATGAGCGCTACCTCGAGGACATCGATATCCTCGCCCGCGAACTGGGTGGTATGAGCACCACCGCCGCTCCGCCACAAACCGAGGGCGACGTCCTCATGGGCGAGGAGGCACAGATTAGCCCGGATCACAAGGAGGGTCGGCTGTACCTCTTCCAGTTTCCGCCTATCCTGCCGAAGCTGGCGAATGTGGAACAACCTGTCAAGCAAGACCCCGGAGACGTGGATGTCCAACTCAGTGACATACCAACTGGCACCATCGACCTGGACGACACGCCAGAAGTCAAGGCCGAGCCCGCAGCTGAGGCAGACGCTGCTGTGCCGCGACCTGTTACCGGATCCAAAGTCAAGGATGCGTTGGTGCAGGAGCCGGGATTGATTGGGAAACTGGTGGTGAGGCGGAGTGGGAAGGTGGAGTTGAGTTGGGGCGGTACGAGTTTGGCGTTGGGACGTGGCGCGGAGTTCGATTTCCTGACGACGGGGGTGGTGGTTCAGGGGCTTGGGGCGGAGAAGGGGGAGGAAGGGGGGGAGGAGATGAGTGGGACGGGGATGGGGAGGGTGATGGGGAAGATTGTGGCGACGCCGGATTGGGAGAAGATGTTTTGATGAAGAGGGGGAGGGGTGGTGCTGTCGAGATGCAAGGGGTGTGTGGGCGTTAATTGGACGGTGTTGGGAAATTAATAAACGGTGGAGAGGCGTTTTCTCTTGCCGCATTTCATGCAGGTTGATATACAGCGTGGTGTAGGATAGTATAGACAACATTGTATTGGATAGTGTCTCCTGCTGATGGCTTATACTACAAGTCATGTGCACACATGCTTGAGCTCTCAGTGCTAACCCCACATCCCCCACCCCCTTTCACACCCAACGCCTACTGCCCCTTATAATACAACTTAACTCCTCATCTTTCAAGCGGCACAGTGGCGCAGTGGGAGTACCACTGTCAGGACAATCTGGCCAGGGCTTGGATGAATAAAGAGGTTACGAATTCGACTCCCACCAATCAAAGGACAAAAAATAACAAGTGAATAAATATACATATCATAAACATCCAAATGTAAAATCAAGTGATTTTCTCCTCATCAGATCTTAAACAATGAGATCTGATGAGTCTTTTGCCCCTTTCGTTAAATAATATAATCGTATCTGAGAGTACTGATATATATCATGGACTGTTTTTTTATACTAATAGAATTATAATACGTTCATAGCGAAATTTAAATATTAAATGAATGTGAAGTACGGAGTTTATATTTCATCTAGCCTTCCCTGTATGCCTCTATATGATCCATTTTATTCTATCCCAGTAGGTATATAATGATGCCCGAGATCCATCTAGCCAATATATTGGCTGCCATATACCTCGATTATCTTATATAATGCTGCGAAACACCATGTGTTATAGCAATCACTGGTCGAACCTGCGCTGCGCTTGAATCACAGAGTGTCTAGGCCGTGAAAGGCAGTTCTGGGTAATCAAGGCCCGTTGAATAGTAACCTCAAGTTCTATCAGACGGACTTTCAACACTTTCAACCATTGATTGACCTCGCGCAACCGTAGCACAATATGGGCCGCGCACTGGCAACCTCCCTCGTAGGCTGTGAGGATGAGCTTTGTTCGCCACTCCAACCATCAATACCATCTGTGCCTTCAGCGACTGGGATGCCACACAGCGTGCATTCCGCGCCGTCATTAACCTCTGGTGTCTTGAGCTTGCTCGATGTCCTGACTACATTCGCCACAATACTAGGGTAATTCTCCTCGACGGACTCGAAGTACTGTGTCATCAAGTCATCAATTGTTGTGCTCTTGCTGCTGGCACTCAGCGCTGACTTGGTGTTGACTGGGATCACGATGCCGCTCAAAGGGGGCGATGTGAGCTTGGTGAATGCGACTAGTTCCTTCTTCAAGAGATCGCGCATCGGGTAGTTGAAGAGCAGGCTGTCGCCAAACGGCGAGGCGCCATCTGAGACCTGCCATGGGAGAGAGAAACCTCGGCCTTTGGCAGTTTCGGTGAGTGTCTTCTCGGCGAGTCGGGTTGTTGAGTCGCCGAAGAGGATGCTGCCGCAGCTGTTCTTCCCAGCGACGGATACCAGGAGGCGCGTGAGGAGTGTGGAGGCGATATCTGAGCGAGAAGTTGCGGTAGAAATAGATTTGAGTAGATTTGCTAAGCGCTCCTTTTTTGGGAGTTGCTCATCGACCGTCAGACCAAGCGACGGCCAGTCGATCGATTTGATGTCGAGGGCATCAGCTATGCTGACCTCGACGTATGTGTGCTTTGGGAATCGGTCTTGCACCGCCTTCCATAATGAACGGATCTTCTCAGATGCAACTTCGTCTTCGAATTCGAGATCAACGTGTGTGATAATGAGTTCGTATGAGGTGCGGCCCATGCGCTCCGATTGTTTTCGCAGTTGTTCGTCGAGAATATGGAGGAGCGAGGTAGAAGATGCGCCGAACGAGAGGGGGAGCAAATATCGCTTTGTCTCTGATTGCCGGTTGCGATCTTTATAAGTCTCTAGGCGCTTAATGGCTTTGGTGTTCACATAGTACGTGAAGCATTGCCTTTTGAGGTCAGCGAGGCTGGGTAGAAGAGGGGTCATTTACTCACAGACAGACTGGCTCAGATCGAATATTCGTAGTAGCCTCGTCTTTATTGCAGCGCTTGCAAATAGATACAGCCTCAGCAACTGCCTTCCCCGGATCAATAATCTGAGTTGCCATTTTTGATCGTGTGGCTGTAGATATTATAGATTAATGTTGCCTCTTGACTTTGTCAGTGGGGGCTGTCAAGGCTGAAATATCTTTTGTCAGCCTCGGTTTTGACAGGGATGTGGCGTCAGCGGCGGGTTGTGGGTTGTTCCGTGGTTCCGGCTTTGGTTTGCCTTAGGGGCGCAGTGGGCCTCTTGGGAGCTATTACGACGTACCTAACCTCAGCTTGTCGTGTCAAGTCCATCGATAATTTAACATCGTTTGAATGCCAAGGCACAACATAGTTTTGGCTCTACTTTGATTATACTACGAAGCCCGACTCTGGATGAGCTTCTCCTGCGAGATTGACACCTAAGCTTCGAAAGCATCTCGAAGCATTGCGGACCGAAACCACCGGCCTAGTTACAAGGCGACGCGGCCTGCACAGTCAACATGAGGGCCTGGAAAAATGGACTCCTGTTAGCTGGGCTTCTGCTGACATCGGTCAATGCAGGAGAAGTTGTATTAGTTAGTATCCATTCCAAGGCGGAATAATGGATTGTTAGCTAATCTCGATTCGCAGGATCAGAAGGAGGACAACAGATTAAAATGCGCTGGAATGTACAGCCGGAAGTCTTGGGGAGGCAGCGTGGATCCATTCATCCTGGTCAAATTTCTGAAGCCTCCTGCTGAGCAGAAGGCGGCATCCGTCAGTCTTGTGATATTCGAGTGGAAGGATGAGGAGCTTGTTGGAGTGTTCCCCGAGGGGGCTGCTCCTGGTACCCCCGTATGCACAACGTCAATGTTCTATACCCCTGAACCGTTACTAACCTATCTCTCAGAAAGAATATATTTGCACCGAAAAGAATGTCCAGAGGAAGCTTTGCGACAAGGCAGATCTGAACAAATATATTCTGGCGCCAAATGCGACCGAGTCGTCGACATCCGAACTCAAGACCACCGCAATTGATCTGAAGAATATAGCAGCAACAAACTACTTGATCAAAACCACGGGATACTACTGTGTTAGCACAGATGCCGAGGATGGCGTTGATTATCAAGCAGTCGTGGAATTTCGAAACGCTTATGGAGAACTGGATGGTGCTCAGATTGCCAAGCTACCGTTTTACGGGGGCCTGACTATCGTATATGCCTTACTAGCAGTTTTCTGGGGATTCTTCTATGTTCAGCATAGGCACGATATTCTCGCTGTTCAGAACTATATTACGGCCATCGTAATATTCTTGATTGTCGAGATGCTGATGACATGGCTTTTCTACGATTACCAAAACCGCAATGGAAGCAACGTCGGCTCGAAAGTATTGATGATTGTCGTTGCAGTTCTGAACGCTGGCCGCAACTCTTTCTCGTTCTTCCTTCTCCTGATCGTCTGTATGGGCTACGGAGTTGTCAAGCCTACTCTTGGGAAGACGATGATTTACGTTCGCTGGCTTGCATTTGCCCACTTCGTCTTTGGCCTCATTTACGCCATCGCGAGTTTGACAGTCACCCCGGATAATGCAGGACCCATTGTCCTCTTTGTTATTCTACCTCTTGCCGGAACTCTCACTGGTTTCTATGTGTGGACTCTTAACTCCCTGACGCACACGATTAAGGATCTCACAGAGCGTAAGCAAAACGTCAAGGCCAGCATGTACCGCAAGCTCTGGATCTGCATTCTCCTAAGCATTGCTGTCATCTTCGCATTCTTCTTCTTCAACAGTGTCACATTTGCTGGTGTCAGGGACCCGGATTTCGTTCCAGGGCACTGGAAGACAAGATGGTTCATACTTGACGGATGGCTGAACATTGTCTATTTCGCCGACGTTGCATTTATTTGCTACATGTGGCTGCCAACGGCAAACAACCGCAGATTCGCAATGAGTGACGAGGTAAGTAGAGAATATGTGGATACACCTGATATACGTACTAACGTGACCAATAGATCGCACAAGATGATGAAGGTTTCGAGATTGGAGACTTTGGAGCGGATGATTCCGGAGACGAAGAGGAGGCCCGCGATGAGCGCGGCACTGAAGGTCCACGATACGATGCTGCACCGAAATCCGCGCCAACGAAGGCACAGGCTCCAAATGATGCCCCGAGCGCATCGAGGCAGTCGCTAGATGGCGAAACTATCTTTGCTGTTGGCGATGACGGGGCAGGCTGGAGCGACGACGAGGCGGATGATGATGATGACAAGAAGAAGTTGGTGGGCAAGCCTGGAAAGGATGCGTAGATAGATTTATCTGTATTTTATGTTTCTGATAAAGTTTGATCTTGGAGATGAGATCTTCGGGGGAAGAGATGAGGAGGTCTCACAGCGCTAGCAAAGCTAGGTCGAGTTTTAGGGACTCAGAGCAATGTAATTCATGAACAGTTTCTCACGACTACGGATATGTGACTAGATTTGCTATGCTAGCTGTCTTCAGCTTGATTAAGAGACGGAAATCGAGGAAGAGTAACTAGAATCAATGCTCCCGTCGAATTCGAGAAGGACCCGCTTATATCAGCATGTTTAGTCGCTGATAATACAGGCAGCTTGCCTAGCGTCTACGGACTGTTGGGACTAATATTCCACCTACGTGATCGTGTGCGCGTATTGTGTGACGGTGACAGGGGATTGGTGGTGACGGTGGTATTACCAGCAGTGGTGAGAAAGGGGGTGGGGCGACAGGAAGTCATTACGACGGCGACAATGGAGTGGCGGTAACAGTAGTGGTTCTGAGAGTGGGCATCATGTCCGACAGCCGAGGTGATTCGATTAGATCCAGCTACATCTTCGCTAATTGTGATTTGGTGCTCGATTTCTCTGTTGTGGTATGATCTCTTCAGCTCGTTGAACCAATTGCGGGATTCTTGGTTAAAGGCTCCTATATTTTCGTATCCTTTAAGGGCACATCTCATGAAGCACGTTGAGAGATCTAAGCCTTTGGATATCTAGCTTCAGGTATCTGTCCCATGATGAAATCTAATCCCATCCCACGCCTGCCACATTATACCCCACTATGGCTCCCATCTTCCGCAACCCAACTTTCAAACATCGCTTAACAGTATGCCCAAAACGCCTATAATGCCTCCCACCCACAATCCCCCGTCCCATCTGGCTCCATGTAACTCTCTCTCACTTTCTCCCCTTCTTCTTTCCCTTCTTGGCTCCACCCGGCTGCGCCCCAGCCTTCTCCGGCACTGGCGCCGCTGCTCCAGTGACCGCATCCCCGGCCTCCTCCATCTTAACATCTTCCTCCTTCAGCTCCGGCAGGCCAGCCATCTCGCGCCCGAGCCGGGACAAGGAGAGCACGAGACGTCCGACCTCTGCGGCTTTGTCGGTGCGGTATTTGAGGGTTGTGCCTGAAGCCGGGTCGTAGGTTTTGAGCGTCAGGAAAGCAACTGGAGCAGGGGCGGCGGTTTCAGCCGTTGCGCGGCGCGTGGAGGGTTTGACAGTGTATTTTGTCGTTATGCGGGACTATTTGCGGTGATCAGTTTGAGGCTTGCACAAGGGGGGGTAGCAGCGGGGTTGTGCGAGACGGGTATGGGCATCGCAAGGAGGGACGTACGGTTGTGGGACGCGCCTGGAGGAGGAGGGCGGATTGAGTGAGCCACTCTTGGGCTGTGGGGAGGTACGGCATTTTGGATGTCGGCGAATCGAGGTCGTGAGGGAGGAATGACTTGCTCGTGCTGTGGTAATGCGGGCGAGGCTGCGAGATGTGGCGGGAGTGGGATCTGTAGCTTTCCAGCGGGGTGAGATTGAGGTGTCCAGATAGGCGACCCCACGAAAGTGACAAGTTTGGAGCTGCTAGTGCGGTGGCCGCTAGCGGATTGGACAGAGGAGTTGGTAAATTTTGATTATACAGGTCAAAATTGGACGTTTACATATTACTTCCAGTAGTATATACTCTAACCTACATTATTAACATTTTCAAGAACTTTTGTGTTTCCCTCGCAAATGTGGAAGTTCCCCAATTTGAACGACTCTTGCCATAGTAGGGCATGGTGGGGAACAAAGATCCATCATAGTCACGTGCTTTGAGATATGTCAAAAAATATCATTGTCATTGCCCAACCTGCAAACCTTTGAGCATGAGTAAAACTTAGCTGTGTCCATTTAAACAGCGATTTCATACATTGTTTTAATATTGAAATTTCCTTTATTAGTTCTCGTGGCTTTCGCACTTATCGCGTGCATAGGAGTTGAAAAATAAGGTGCGGCTCTGCGGCAGCACTAGCTAGGGTGATCACCATTGAAGACGACGGTCCCCGAGACATTCAAGTTTATATTTTATCCTAATAAAAAGGAGACGATGAGCGAAAATAACGAGCCTCAAGACTCGTTGGTTGATGTCTCTTCACAGTTGTCAAAATTGGATCTTGAAGGAGGGGCAGAGCAAGGACAAGATCTCCTAGACCGATGCCGCGTCCTTGTTGATGAACTGGAGGTGTTCCAAAACTACCTCCAGGACGAGAAAAAGGAAACTGCTGAGCTGCGGCACTTTAAGAGCAGTGTGAAAACAGAGTATAAATTACTTCGAAAGGTGCTTCTTTGCCGTATTTATCGTAAACCGGACCTCTCTGACTCATACCCAGCTTTGCAAATCAGATCCTACAGTACCAAAGACTGCCCACACATTAAGGTCTAGCAATTTCCCTTTTTATGCTGCAGTTTGGGATGCTGCGAAAGGTTGTACGGGCGTTGTGGCGCTGGGGAAACGCTTCCACTGGCCCTCTCCCGTGAACCTTCGCGATGGAGAGAAAGTTCGGAGTACCCCAGGCTCGATCCACAAGCGCTCCAATGTTCTGGTTGATATTGTCGCCCAGGATGGATTAGAGTGGGTAAAGGTATCAACGTTGACTGAGAAACGGATACTATTTGACATAGCCAAAGCTGGCTGGATTGTTGATTCGTCCAGCGACGAGGAGTATGACAGCGGAACAGACAGCTCCAGCAGTGTCCAGGCAGAAGGCCTATTGAAACAGGCAGAGGGATTAGTAGCAGCATCTCGTGCAACTAGGGTGCGATATCGTCACCCGAAAATTCGCATGGTGTTACCCAAGATCCCTCGGGGCTGTGTAGGAGCAGTGGAAGCAATTCTTGGCCAGATCGAAGGAATGGGTATCCAAATTCAAAGATCTGAAGATTTGCAACCAGCACCTCCATTGGCAGATGTGTTGGATAAAGTTGCTGTCAATCCATTTGCAGACTTTACGGACCCTGTCAATATTGATTGCACTATCCTACTTGCCCTTGTGAGCGACTTGTCGCATTGCCCGGTCGAGACTGAGGAATGGCATCACCGGGCAGTTAAGAGGCAAATCGAAATGGAGAGGGACGATCAACTATTGCCCAAGAGCCTCTGGCCTGCTTGTGGTCCAAGGAAACTTCTGTGTACTCGAGAGGCAGCACAACGTATGCATGAGATTGTCGATCTGATAGGGACGGACTCGGAAAAACGTCGAAGAGACTTTATCCTGGATAGAGATGGCACAGCGGAGTTAACATGCGAACAGCGTGTTTCTGGCTTGCAAGAGCTTTCAACTCACAGAATACCACAGGAGCTGAAGCTACCGATTGATGTTGTTGAAGTGGATATCCCTGGTATGGAACGCCGCATAGGACCGATGGCCATTGAAGTATCGAAAGTACTCTCTGTGATCAACCAATCCGTGTTCTTATATGGCTGGTCAAATGATATGACAACTATAAGCAGCAATAGGACTGTCGCAAAGGAGATCGAGACTCTGGTTGAAAATGGTCGAAAATGCGACTCTGATAAAGGGCCCGATATCTGGCTCTGCCCAACGGCACGGTCGCTGGTGGGGAAAGAGAAGACAAGGAGGAATTGGAATAACTGATAAAGCAACATGCTTTAAGAAGGTATGATGTTTTATATTTCTAAGAGCGAGCGATATTCCCATATGACGATTAGAACATATCGCAAGTGAGCCTGATAGTTTGGGCAAATCATTTACATTGCATGGCTGTACTTTCGCGGGGATATACGTGAGTAATTATTAGACGTTGATTTATCACGGAGGAATATATATGTCAAGGTAACACTTTGCTGAAGCTTCCCGAACTTGAGAGGGTGCAGTGAAATATCATGGGAGAAATTGTGGGATTATACTACCCCTAACTGTTAAATTCACTGCGCGACAAAATAGTTGGCGATTCCAATCCGAATTGAATTTTGGGTGGCTGGAGGTTTTTACCAGATTAGGAAATTTGAGCTTGGGGTCCAAGCTCAGCCCTGCCTCGATTTGCCCGCCAGTTGTGAATTCATTGATATACTCCGCCGCTTAGGTATAACCTCACTTTCACCGACTTCCCCCCACCACTTTTTTTTCTTCCACAACCTCGACATTCAACCAACAATTACAAAACGCTTTCAACAACAATTCTTCAATCAATTCAAACCTTGCTTCTTCATTTTATTACCATTGTGGTAATCAATTCTCTTTTTACCTTCTCAACTTTGCTCTCTTGCAACATGAGTTCTCACAATTGGCCTTCGGTCCAAATTGGCCAACCTCAATACCCACCATTCAATCCCAACACAGCTTCCTACGCGACGGACGATACTGAAGCTTTTACTTCGGACCTCATCAACCCTGCTCTGACATCTCCAATCTCCACTTACCACCTCAACCCTGAGCACGACATCAATGGTGCTGGCGGCATGATCGGCCTCACCCTCGACCAGTACAAGACTGGCCACCGTGCTTCAATTGCACCTTCTATTCCTACTCCTGCCAGCAACAAGCGCCAGCTTTCACATGATCAGGTATGATTTTATCTTCATTTTTTTCTTGATTAAACCAGGAGTGAAAGCTTGAGACGCGTCATATCGCGCCTCAGCTATCATTGATGTGTTCAACAATTACCCTCCCTTAAACCTGATATTACTCTCCAATCAGGTGATAGTTGTGATTTACTCTTACTGACTTAACTTTCAGATGATGAGCTCTCCAGACAGACAGTCAGGAGATAATGCTGGCAATCACCAAACCCAACCCAAGAAGCGTGCTCGTAAGGGCCCCAGTGCAAAGGCAACACTCCCTATTCCACGCTCACGAACTCTTGTCCTCGGCGAATCTGTATTCTCCCCTGAAGATTTCGCTGCTGGCTTGAAGCACTTCAAGAAAATATCGACTGATCAATCGCTTGAGGATGATGACCTCAGAAAAATGAGAGACTTTCTAACCTGGGGTGAAGACGAGCAAAGCAAGTGGCTTGCAAAACTCTCGCCAGAGCAGTTTGGAGTCGTTCTCTTTGCAGAGAAGCAGGATCGTGACCACCAACAATCTGCGGTTGCTCAACTGAACAGTTCGCATGCTATCAAGCTTCAAAACCACGATGCAACCCCATCATTTGGCATCCAGCAGCAAGGCAATGGTGTGCACAATGGCGCGCAATACCAACATGCGCAAAACGTGATGGATTTTAATAATCTGTCGAATTTCAACCAACAATTTTCTCCGCTTGCCCAAAATGCCAACTTCCAGCAAATGGCTATGCAGAATCCTCAGGGCCAACCAGTTCAATTTGGCTCACAAATTCCTTCCTTCATCGTTTGCCCCAGCGGTCAGCTGATACCGCAGCAACAAAATATGTTTGAAAACATGCCAACCATGGCCGGTTATCAATCGTCAAACATGCAAACTTCCGGAGCTTATCAACAGCAAATCAAGGTCAATGGACAGCTCATGACTGTTAATTTACAGCCTGCATTTGGTGGTCACCAAAATGGAAATTTCAATTTGCACCAGCTAACTCCGGGTGCTCTTGGCCATGTCCCTCAGCAATACGGTACAAATGTCAACCAGACCTTCAATTCCATGGGTCAACAAAACTCCACGACTACATACTCTCTACCATCTGGTCGCCAGCTTAACAACACCAACCAGGGCGAGAACTTCGTGCTTCCAACCTTGAGTCATGCGGCTAGAGTTGCAGAAGCCCAGCTTAGGGCAGCCACCATGAGACGCCAGCACGCTGATCTTCGTGCACGTGGGTTGCCAGTACCAAACGTACCAAATTATCCAAAGCTGCCTCCAATGGTAATGTCAGGTCCAGGCTTGGGAAACCTACAAGGAGCAATCAACAATTTGCCTTCGGCACCACCTTCCTTCTTGATTAACGCCTTTGATGGTGTAAACTGGGAAAAAGATCCCGAGAAAGATGCTGCGGCAAAGGCTGCCAATGGATCGCCTCCTAACAACTCTCTCGGCGGTCATACACCAACTGGCGATGGATTTCCCATGAAATTTGCGGACATCTCGGGCGCCAATCCGGTGTTTTTATCCCAGAAGGGCAATGCGGTGATGATTGACATTGCTGGCCGTCCAACAGAGCACGGTACAAGCCCAACCGCACCCAAAGCTGTTGGCTACCATGGCGTTAACACACCTGTTGTACCTTTTTATCAGGTGCAGCTACCGAACTCCGCAGGTCAACTGTCCATTGGGCCAAATGCTCAGGGCAGCACTTCACCGGCTGGCGCAGCCAAGGGTACCGCCACGAAGACTTCGCCAAAATCAAAGAAGACTACCACAAAGAAGAAGTCCAGTGCTGCCTCCAGTTCTGCCTCCAGTTGTGCTATTGCCAATGTTGCAAGTGCTCTGTTTCCCACAAGCATTCCTGTTCCATCAACCAGCCAGGCCATTGTCGGTGCTGCGCAGCCAAATGCCTCATTCCCAATCGTTCAGAATCCGGGATATTCCAATGAATCACAAGTCAACCCAATTTCTCTGAACATGCCAGCACCCGTTTCAGCTATTACCCGTTCAGCAGTCGAGTCACTTACCACCAAGTTGACGTTTCCTCCACTTCCGTCTCCAGAGTCGTCTCCCGTGGCAACCTCTAGCTCCTCGAGCTTTGACGCATCTGCTTCTCAAGCCTCCTCAACGACTACTGCTCAGACAACACAGCCCACCATTTCACCACTGGACTTCCCAGAGAGCAACATGCAGATTACTTCCTCGTCATCTGATCTTGAGACTGCTTCTGAGCCCTCGGCAGTTCCTCCACCTGGGTCCACTGATGAAACCAACAATATCTCCGCGTCCACGGAGAGTGAGCTGACTACTGCTGATAACGATGAGCTTGATGATCTCTTCGGCCCCATTGCAACCCCAGAGCTTGAGCCTTCCGCATCCAACGAGGCTGCCACACCCGACGATTCTCAACCAACCGACTTCAACAACGACCCCCTGGATGGCTTTTTCAATTTCCTGGACACACCAGGGATAGCGCCTAATGGCGAATATGTCGGCGTCGGCGTCTATGATGAGACCCAGCCTGTTGGCCATGGTTTCAGCATGACGGGTGGCCAATTCGATTCTATGGCCGACGTGGATTTCACCGATATGGATTTCTCCGACATGGGTTTCGATAATTGGACCGACTTTGACATCGCTCAGTAGCTGGAGATTCATCGAACTGGTACTGGCATTTCTTCGGATCTTCCGTTATCGGGTTTCTTCTGATGATACTGGCGTGCTTCAGTCACTGCCCATGCTCTTTTTTTTTTGTATTTTTTTTTGTTTTTGAAAATATTCCTAATGTTATTGGACAGCGCGGAGTTGGAGTTTAGAAACCGGAAAAGGATACCCTGGGCGACAAGTGTCGATGGCGGTTGATATTTTTTTCGAAGGCGTTTGAGCGATGGGAAGAGATGAGAAGCCGGAACCGAAATGCGTGTGCTTTGGTCTCTGCATATAGTCTGGTTTTGCCGTGGCACGCCAGAAGGTCCCTGGTATAGACTGGTGTCGACGGAGGTGGAATTTAGAAATAGAGAATTGAAATTCGAACTCTCCAACATGATTTCTCTCAATCTAATAGCTAGGTGAGGTTCTCTCTCAGTGGATTGCTGATATAGAGTAACTAATTGAAGATTTCATCTACATCATGTACTATGGTTCGAAAAATTCGAGTGTCCTCGTGAATACTAGGATTTCAGTATCAACCAAAGCTAACGGGAATATGTCAAAGAGAACAATGAATCCACCTGACTGGCTCCGTCGACCTCGATACTATTATGGCAAATATGACTATTAATACCACGGTCAAGCAATTTATATGAGAAGTAACCACGAAAGTAGTTTTGATATAACTTATTCAACTACTTAATCCTATCTTATTGTTTCATGCCACATTTCGTGGCATAGCCATACCCCTTTCCAATCCTATCCACATGTTACAAAACAACTCCCAAAACTCCACAATGAGAAGAGTGATCTCCTGATGATTAACGGCCGAGCCCGCTAGCATTCTATGCCAGGTATATGAAAGAAAAAATATGTTCAAGACACCCACCCACCACAACAGAGCTACCCGTGCCAAGTTGTACAACCTTTCAGGTCAATTTAAAGCAAAAGCAACGCCGATGGAACCATTCGCATAAATACATGATAAGAGACGAACCAAAGAATGTGGAGCATCTAGAAGTCTTCATCGAAGTTGAAGTCTCCGCCATTCTCTGCTTTCGACTCGATCTGTGCAGCGGTATCCTCGTGCTTCTTGACCGTAGATGCCATGACACCAGTCTTTTGGTAGTCGGCGACGCGCTTCTCGAAGAAGTTGGTCTTTCCTGCCAGGGAGATGTTCTCCATGAAGTCGAATGGGTTGGTCGACTTGTAGTACTTCTCGTTACCGAGGGAGAGCAGCAGCCTGTCGGCGACGAACTCAATGTATTGCTTCATCAAGTTGGCGTTCATGCCGAGCAGCGCACAGGGAAGTGCCTCAGTCAAGAACTCTTGCTCGATGCTGACAGCCTCGGTAATGACGTCTTGGACGGCCTGCTTGCTTGGGCGGTGTCTAAGGTGGGAGAAGAGGAGGCAGGCGAAGTCGGTGTGGAGACCCTCATCACGGGAGATGAGCTCGTTCGAGAAGGTCAGGCCAGCCATGAGGCCACGCTTCTTGAGCCAGAAAATGGAGGCGAAGGAGCCGGAGAAGAAGATACCCTCGACAGCAGCGAAGGCAACGAGACGCTGAGCAAAGGTAGAATCCTTATCTTGGATCCACCTAACTGCCCAGTCGGCCTTCTTCTTGATACAAGGAATGGTCTCGATGGCATTGAAGAGGTATGTGCGTTGAGCCTGCTCCTTGATGTATGTGTCGATGAGGAGGGAGTATGTCTCGGCGTGAATGTTCTCGATCATGATTTGGAAACCGTAGAAGCAGCGGGCTTCTGGGATCTGGACCTCGCTGCTGAAGCGCTCGAGGAGGTTCTCGTTGACAATTCCATCGGACGCGGCGAAGAAAGCGAGAACGTGGGAGATGAAGTAGCGCTCATCGTCATTGAGGCGGTTGTTCCAGTCGTGAAGGTCCTTGGAGAGATCAATCTCCTCTGCTGTCCAGAAAGATGCTTCCGCCTTCTTGTACATCTGCCAGATCTATTGTAAATTGTCAGTACAAAGTCCACTTTACGCGTTACGCGTCCGTGCTGACGCGACGTGATCACATACCTCGTGGTACTTGATTGGGAACAGGACGAATCTGTTCGGGTTTGACTGAAGCAGTGGCTCATCGGCTTCCTCTGGCTTAATTGTAGGTGCGATCAAGCTCAAATCGGCCTCTGCCACGATTGGCTTCTTGGTCTCGACGACGTCATCGACTGGTGCTTGGGCGTCGAATGGGAGGTTCTCTTTTCCAACAGCGGCGAAGTCAAGCTTCTTAGCTGGAGAGTCGTTCATCTTCAAGTTCTCGAGGGAAGACGCTGTCTGTATCATTCATTAGAAGCTATCCCACGACGACAGTGATGGTGGCAAGAGATTACATACCTTCTTCGACGGCGTAATTTGGGTTGCCATTGTATTGTTGTATGAGGATAGTGAGATCAATTGAGTTAATGTAGATGTTCTTGTAGTTTTGGTACAGAGTGAGAGAGAGTAAAGAGGAATTGGATGTGTTGATGGTGACGTGAAGAATAAGGTGGTGGAGGGGAAGAGCGCGTCCTTTGTAGTCCCCGTCTGCACCCTAGTTTGTTTCTCGGAAGCGCGTTTTCCCTCACGTGACGCGACTTTACGCGTTTTGCACTTTAAAGGGAAGAGGCTGGGGTTCGCACCGACACTTTTACAACACAGCCTAACCGTACCAAGACACCAAAACTCCACTCTGTACGCCTCTAGATCCGTATTCCCGGCCTCCGTTGGATCGAACTGAAAGAATTCCCTGAAACTGCCCCATGTTGTCGCATTTGTGTGGACAGAGACCCCTCACGCTAGATGATCTGATAAGATTAACCTGGCAACGCGTAGGCAACGCGCAGGCAGCTGTCCAAGGATACAGTTACCCGTATCCACAAGATGGATCTTTTATCCACAGCCATGCACGCGCGTTTGTCCCAGCTTAAGTCATAACACGTCTTAGTAAACTTAGTAAAGCTCAGCAATCAGCTTGGCAATGGGGCTTCCTCTGACTCATTTGCTGGGCTTTTGGATGTCCAGCCAACGAGTTCGTTTGTAAACATGGGAGCATATATTTCACTCATTACCGTGTCTAAGATTGAGGCGGGGTCAAATTCAATGCTGACATTTATTGCTGTTATATTCAACTGTATAATTTTTACCGTGGTATCTATCTCCAAGTCTTTACAAAAGTTACAAACATAAATTAACATTAAGGCACCGCATAATTAATAACCAAATACCCTCATTGCAAACACCTACCGAGTACGAGCTGGTTTCTGACGCGTGCTTGGTTCCCTGGCGGGACGGGACGGCAAGTTGGAGAGTGGCGTATCGCCATGCCTTTGGCCGGCGCTGCCGCTCTCGACGTCTGGCTGCTTGCTTTTCTTTCCAAATCTAAACCACCCGCCGCCACTCTGAGTTGTTGTTGTGGCCGTATTAGTCGTGCCCGAAGGTTTTTCACGCTGAGTTCCCGGTGGAGCTGTTTGACGCATTGGAGGCTGTTGTGATGGTTCGTTTGCAGTATACACTGGAGGTGGACCGCCGGCCATCAGGCGGTCGAACTCATCGGGGTCGCTGGGGTCGACTGTGGGCAACGCGGCGCCCTGGGATTTGAGCCTGGCCTGTCCCTTAGCGCGAAGATGTTTCTCCAGTACAGCAGCGTTTTTGGTGTTGGCGCGGAAAACAGCTGTCACTTCTATTAGCGATGGAATGGAATAAGGGCTTGCCATAACTTACCATCTGCCAAATCGCCGATAAAAGGAACAAGACCGATAAAGAAGTCAATGACGATGTTAAACACCATCTGCGACTGAACAGTAGCAGGGAGGCCACCCTCAACCTGCTGGCACGTCCGATATACCATCATTGCCATGAATGCATCCAGCGCATCACCAAAGCTAATGCAATACGTTAAAAGTGTCCCAGGAAACGGCGGAAAATAGAAACTCACCCGGGGATTATACCAATGACACTGCTCCAGCCAAACCTTATACCACAGCAGTTGAACAAGCTCATATCGAGCCTATAAGCCCTGCGCTTGACCTTCGTCAGGATCTTCCCATCATGCTCAGATATGCCTGGTGGTAATGCCTTTCGGACTTTCTTCATTTTCGTCTTCGAGGGCCTGCCATTTAGTCGTGTAGCGGGGACAGATTCGAAATAAGGATCCTATAGAGAGAGTTAGTACGTCGTAGTGTCAATTCTTGCATGAGACAAACCTCTGTTCCGAAATTATTCTGCAACGACTCCCCTAGGAATTTCTTGCTAACATATTTGGCCAGCAGCGAAGTCATGTTGGCGATGATTATCGATAGTCGATAAAACTGGAGCGGGAAACGTGAGATTTATTGAGTCTCTTTGTGGCTGACGGTATCGCCGTCGAATTTGGCTTTCTTTGATTGATAGGTCTACCGCGAGTTGTGTCTGTTTCAGGAGGCGCTTTGTGTTATTTTTGGCCGTGAAACGGTGGTGAGTCAATTGGCTTCCAGCACAGCACCTGGTCTTGCTGAGTCCTTTGCGGATTAAGCGCGACTATTGGTAGCCAGCGTTGTGATTGTCGGAATCCAATATGACACAGGGTAACTTTCTGAAGTAAATATATGCAGTTCCAGGGACGGATTAGAATGATCAGCCCGCGTATGGCTAGAAATGAGGACTAAAAGAAGCAAATAATGCCAGCCAGATTCAAGTATATATAGCAATCACCAATGCGTATATGTACAGTTTCTGCTGGCGCATGAAGGGGTTGCCGTCGCGTTTATCTTGATTTTGCCGGCGACCCAACAGCCAGCACATGCCCAGCCCCTTGCTGTTTAATGCCAACCAAACGTCATTGACAGGGTAAGGTACAAAGGACGCTAGTACTAATATGAGCAAGTGCTTGTTGTTTAAGCTTAGACGGCTGCGCCACACCTGCGCCACAGATATGCACTGCCACAGCGCCAAACTGTCGCTGTATCCGTGGTATGTTGGTTGGTGCAAAGACAAAGCGCGGCAAACATCGTCATTGAAGATACACCTACCATGATATAAGCACATTATCTGAACCGCTATTTCCATCAGTTTCTGAGCCTCCAACCTCTGATCCGGGATACTACGCAACTCTGAGGTACTGGTTCCGCGAGTGATATCGACCGACGTGTTTCCTAGCCGCGACACCTTGGCACTTCACGGTTCCGCCTGCTTTGGATATTCTTATCCTCAAGAAACACCCCAAAGTCTTTTCGAGTCGTGGATATGCTAGCACAGTATAGCCTAGATGACAGACTCCAAAATGCAGCTAGAAGACTGTGAGTACAGGATGAAAGACCAGCCAGTGGACTGGAATTACCCGCTATCATTGACGCGACAAGGGCTGACAAGACGATGCTGGAACAGGGCTCGATGATTTATGTGTTCGATTTATTATCAACTTACCAGAGGAGGATCTATCCTCAGTAGCGAGGATATGTTTCCAAGTCGAAGAGGCACAATGGTTTTACGAAGACTTCATCCGGCCGTTGGATCCGTCTCTCCCATCCATGTCCCTCCGCAGCTTCTGCCTCAGGATATTCCAACATTGTCCCTTACTATCCGCATTTTCGATTGACAATCACATGCGAGCCTTTGAAGAATTCCTTCTATACAAGACGCGCGTGCCTGTTCGAGGTGCCATAATGCTGAACCAAGCGCTAGACGCCGTCGTGCTTGTCAAGGGCTGGAAAAAGGGAGCGAACTGGAGCTTTCCCAGAGGGAAGATCAACAAGGATGAAGATGATCTTGATTGTGCTGTGCGTGAGGTATACGAAGAGACTGGCTACGACATCAGGGCCGCTGGCCTGGTCCCGGATTCAGAAGAAGTGAAATATATCGATATCCCTATGCGCGAGCAACATATCAGGCTGTACGTCTTCAGAGATGTCCCTATGGACACTCATTTCGAACCAAGAACAAGAAAAGAAATCAGCAAGATTGAGTGGTACCGATTATCAGATCTCCCTGCTTTCAGGAAGAAAAATCACCAAACAGGCAATGATGCCGAGGTTGCAAAGAACGCGAATAAATTCTATATGGTAGCACCATTCTTGGTGCCACTGAAGAAATGGGTTCAGCAGCAGAAGAAGAAAGACTCTGACCGTGCTACAAGCAATCAGTATTTGTCTCAATATGCAGACGAGGGTCAGACTGAGGAAGAGGGCTTTAGAAGCGCAATCGAGGGCTTTGAAATGCCAATTTCAAATGTTCATGGAGCATCAGCTCCGGAGTTGAATACTATGGAAGGAGCTACGGCAGCTCTTCATAGACTATTGAAGATACAGCCTGCGACGCAGGGCCTGCAGCCAAACCCTACAAGCGCTGCCCAATACCCAGCAGCGAACACCGGTGACGCCCTGCTTGCCATACTACGTGGAAAGCCCCAAGGCGAAGCACAACAAGCTCCACCCCAACAAGCTCAAACTCAACTGCCCCGTGGCCCGGCAGACTTTGCATACAATTCGGCTCCAACACAGCGGAATCCGCAGCACCAGTACCCAATGAACCCACAGGAGTCAAATCCTCAACCATACAATGGCGCTCCCATTGGCTTGGACAACAGGATGCAAATTGAACAACAACAGAATTATAATTACCCTACTCAGCATCATCAGTTACCCAACCCAATGTCTGGTGGTATGCGTATAGCCAACCCTCAGGCGATGGGGACAGTTGGGAACCCAGCACCTAGCGCTGGCCAACAACATCCTGCTATGCAAGGGAATGCAAGTTATGCTGCTGATCCTTCTTACTTTTCGGGCGCTCAAATTCCTGGGCCACAAGTACAGCCTCAGTTTGGACGCCACCCGCAGTTCTTGCAACATCCCCAACCACTCCCACCGCAAGTCCAGCAAGGCGTATTCAGTGGTGGTCAGGGCCACAATCCGATAGCTCAGTTTATGCAGCAGGCTAGTCAGCAGAATATGCCACAGATTCCTCAGCAGCGCCCATCTCAATTCTCTCCTCCAACGCAACCGAATCTACCAAACGCACACGAACCTGTAATATCACCACCCAAACCAACGCCACCCCAATTGACCAGCCACTCCTTGGCCCTCTTGAACGCGTTTCGTGGTCAAGATAGGGTGGTGCCAGATAGCAAAGTTTCAAACGGTCATCCACTATCGAGATACACTCAGGGGCACGTAACTCCTACCACACAGCTTCAAGAGCTTCCAAGCGAGCACCTGTTGCAAGAGCAACCAAATGTCAGTCGCCCTGTAGCAAGCTACGAGCAAAGGCCGCCACAGCAAGATTATCGCAACTTGCCCGTCGGATCGCCGCCAGCCGATGTGCATAAATCAGCACTTCTAAGTCTGTTTAAGACTCCTACGGCTCCTGCTGCTCGTATGGCAAAACCAACTTCTGCAGAGCCTCCCCAGGTTCCTCCAATGCCAACGGCAATGGATACTCGGCCTGCAGTATCTCCAGCTTCCATTACAAGGGCCCGTGGACCGCTTCCTGATGGCAACTTAGCTCTTGCTAGGCCAAAGCCTGACGGTAGACCTGAGGTTCAGCCTCGCGCACCGGAGCAACAACAGCCATTTAGGCCGACTGCTATCCTATCACGTCCTCCCCAGGCAAATTCGAAACCTTCCACTCCGCAGCCGCGGCAGCCTTCGCAAGCTCAGCAGGCTCAGCAACCTCAGCAGCATCGCCAACCACCGGCCAATGGCAAGGGAGCGAGGAAAGCGGGAGGTACTCCGAAGCGCCAGGCTGATGTTGAGGCACCACAGCAAGCACCGAAACCCTTTGCGCCTCAGATCTTGAAGCGACCGGCGCAAGGCGTTCCAATGCCTCACATGCCCGCAGAACTTTCTGGTATCAGCCCGACTAGAGTATCACCACCAGTGTTGCCAACTATCGAGTCACAGCATACAGCTCAACCTACGCCTCCTCAAGCGCACAAGCAGGCTCTACTCTCGCTGTTCAAGAAATTACCTGAGCCAGCGTCACCGGGACCCTCCCAGCAGCAGAAGCTTGGTGCTGAGAGGCCATTTGCGTCTGGCGGAGAGAATACTGGAGCGAGGGGTTCCAGAAGGACCAGCAACCAGGCGCCTATGTCCCCAACGGATAAGGGATTTCTATTGGGATATCTTGATACTATTGCCAAAGGTGGACTTTAGATGATGGGTATGGGACTTCAGCGGTTGTTAGCGATAGTTGTTATATAGTGATGGGTTTAGGCATTGGAAGGGGGATATTGGGATCATAGTGATAGTTATTGCAGGTTGCGTTGAGTTCGGAGTAAATATGAATACATTCAAAGAAGCATGCATAGGTCACTTATAAACTGCCGTGTAAGGGATGAAAGTTGAAACAGTTTCAATCTGAGATAGCACTCGTAGAAGACTTCATTTCCTGTCATTGTTTGCCCCAATCATTCTCGAAGGCTTCTCCACCACAACGTAGTGTCTATAGTGACGAGGGAATGGGTGTAACGGTAATGAAAAACAGGGCGGTGACAAAAAAATGTGGCAGATGGTAACATGAATCAGGAAAGGGATAAGAAAGCTTACCTTCTCGCCATTTTTCTTGTTACCGTCCCATCTTCTCCTCACTGTCCATCCCATCTTCTCCCCCTATCGTCTCACTCCTTCCTGATTAGTCACATCTTAGGCCTTTCGATTGTTTGCATAATTTTCAGTAGTGTATTTTGATTTGCCATTATGACTTTGCAGTCAACAAAACTATGAACGTAGGTAATAACCATATTATATATTATAGTCGTACTCAGAACTGATCATGGGTCCTTCATGGAGTCGGCTTACTGAACCCTTTTGTCGAACCGGCATTTGGGCCAACTACCGTAATGAAAGCTACCCCCCCACAGCACAAAAACCTCCGTGCATTCCGACATGACGAACCTTAACGGGACGCAGCTCGCGGAGCTCATCTCTTCTCCGTGACAACAACTCCCAGCCCTCCATACCACAATGAAGCGTCCACTCTCCACCCGCCTGCTATTACAGCTTCAATCCCCCACCCGCACACTCACCAATCCATACATCTGCACCTCCTGCTTCCAATCCCGACGCGCCCGCTTCTCCACCAGCCCCCGCCTCAATGCCAACCCCCCACCTCCTCCGCAATCAAGCTACGCCCTCCTCCCCTCGCGGCGCCTGATCTCACTCTCGGGACCCGACGCGCCGCACTTCCTCCAGGGTGTCATAACCGCCAACATCGCGCCGTCGACGCCGCGCACGAGCGGGTTCTACGCTGCTTTCCTCAATGCGCCGGGCCGAATCCTGAATGATGTCTTCATCTACCCCGATTCGAACAATCTGCTGAAGGGGAAGTATGATGGGAGTGGAGGGGAGAATTGGATCGTGGAGGTTGATGCGCAGGCGGCGGAGACGCTGTATAAGCACTTGAAGCGGTTTAGGCTGAGGGCGAAATTCGATATTAGGTTGTTACCTGAAGACGAGATGCAGACATGGAGCTTGTGGAAGGAGGATAAGTCAAAGGAGGTCGGGATGGGGTGGACGCCACACACTATCCCCACCGAGACCGTCCCAGCCCCAGCTGGTCACATTGAGTGCGTCGACATCCGGGCCCCGGAGATGGGCAAGCGACTGTTGCTTCTTGGCGGCTCCAAGCCACCGGCAGAAGACACGGAGGGGCTGGTGGAGACAGATGAGATGAGCTACACGATCCGGCGGTACCTGAAGGGCGTTGCGGAGGGCCAGGACGAGATCTTGCGTGAATCTGCTCTGCCGCAGGAAAGCAACATCGATTACATGTCCGGTATCGACTACCGCAAGGGCTGCTATGTGGGCCAGGAACTGACAATCCGCACACACCATACTGGAGTTGTGCGGAAGCGTATCTTGCCTGTTCAGCTGTATGGTGCTAAAGAGGACGAACCACAGACTCTAGAGTATAAGCCGGAGGTGGAGATTGCGGCGCCGCCCGCGGAGACACAGATTGGGCGCTTTGAGAAGAGGGGACGAAGCGCTGGGAAGTGGTTGAAGGGGGTAGGCAATGTGGGTTTGGCACTGTGCCGACTGGAAATTATGACGAATGCGATGCAGGGCGAAGGAGCGGGGTACAAAGAAGGGGACGAGTTTAAATTCGAATGGAAGACTGAGGATGGAGCGGAGAACTTGGTCAAGGTTAAGGCATTTGTGCCTGCGTGGCACCTGTCGAAGTAGAAAGGCTGTTGTACGTTAAGATTGGTTACGATAGACTTGTACGTTGAAGTGCTGGAAGCTTGGTGAGAGACTGGGCAATGTACGAATAGGAGTATACGATATAGTATATATGAATCTCATCTTTGATTCGCTTTCTGTATGCTTTAATCTACATATAACACATGGTATCATAAACTTAAATGCCCCAAACGCCAACGCTGAAATGCAATATGCACAGGGAGTCCCTACAGAGGACTGTCAGCCTCCTTCCGCCGAATCTCCTCCTCCAATCTCTTCTTTTCGGCATCCTTCAGGCGGTCCATAGTTGCTGCAAATTCATCCTTCGCCTGTGGCACAAGCCTTGGCTTTGGGGAGAACGAGAACTTCGGCGAGGACAGCGGTTTCTCGCCTGCTTTAAGTCCGTTCAAATCGGGTCTTTTCACTGGTGTACTGGTGTCCTTCTGGTCATGGATGCCTTTCTCCTTCAACCTCGCCTTCCAGTCACCCGCAGGAGATGCAGATGGGGTATCAGCCGGGACGTAGACACCACTTTTCCGCGCCCGCTTGTCAGCCTTACGCTTCTCTTTGGCTTCGGCAATTTCTCGGATGCGGCGCTCGAGTCGGGCGACTTCATCTTCCTCTTCAGCTTCCTCTGCTGCTGTTTGTGCTGGCTCTGGTTTGGTCGGTGCGGCAGGTTTAGGGGTGATATCGGCTGGCCGTTTGGGTGGAGGTGTCGACGCGGAAGGTTCAGCAAACGATGGTGCAGATCCACCTTGCGCCCGTATCTTCTCTTCCATCTCCCTCCTCCTCCTCTTCCCCTCCTCCGCCAGGCGGCGAATCTCTGTGCCCATCTCATCTTCCTCCTCCCTCGGTCTCTTCCCCCCAACCTGTATCCCAGCTCCCACACCTCCCTTCTCTCTCGCTTCCAACTCCTCCTTCATCTGTCTCCTCCGCCCCTCAAACAGCTGCTCCTGCCTCACCTTCTGCAGTCTCGCATAGCGCGCATTGTCGTAGGCCGCTTTCGCGGTCGGATCGCTCAGCACATCGTTCGCAACCTGGAGGAGATGGAATTTCTCGGGGTCAAAAGCAGCACCGAGTTTATCGGGATGGTATTTCAAGGCTGTCTTGCGGTAGGCTCGGCGGATGTCTGAAGATGAGGACTCGAATTCGACGCCGAGAAGGGCATAGAAGTCGACGGTGGAGGAGGCATGCTCCATAAGGTCGTCTTTCGGCATGGCTGTAAGGAGCTTGAAATAGCAAAGGAATTTGTAGCAAGAACTATCGAGAATATCGAGGAAGAGTTGGAGCGAATGTGAATATATCTAACGCGTAGTTCAAGAAGTCGCATCGAAATGTGAAGACGATGGCGACCTGCCTGGACACTTTTCTGCCACCGCTGGATCCAGCTGGGTTTAGCGTACAAGCGTCACGCTAAAGGTAAGCGCGCTCCCCCCCACCTAGATCGCTTAAACACATAACCCCCGCTAAGCGCCCTCCCTCCATTATCCAAACAGTCGCCTGGCTTCATGACTTAGTACGTATGATCATATGATGTTTCTTGTTCACTGAATTGAAGACTCTTCATTAGTACTGTACCTTTCATTTTTGCTTTTTTTTACCTTTTTGATTCTTTTTGGGGGATCATTCATTGTAAGCGCGTTTCTCATCGCTTCTCATTGTCGCCCTTTATACTCAAATATATTAATACGCTATTGGAGTTCAGGTAGAAATATGACAAGCGACACTGCATTTGTGTTGAGTAAGTTCTCAAGCGCCGAAATCTATCCGACAATGGTATCTAAATAAAAACCCGGCTAACTCCAACAGAACTTAATGCGCCCCTTTCATCTTCAAACCTTACAAAATAATTTATCACAGTTCATCTTCTCTTCCTCAGTTCCCTTTCCCTCCTCTCTCTCTCCTTTCTCTCGCGTCTCTCACGCCTCCTCCTTCTACCCCACTTCAAAATTACTTTCTTAAACCACCTCACTATCATTTCTCGCATCATTAGTAGCCCCATACCAACAGCGACCGGCGCTGCAATGCTCCAAAAGTAGTTGGTATTGTTATTAAGCGCATCGAAGTCCGTGAAATTCATCCCATAAAACCCCGTAATCACAGTTAACGGCAATAAAATAACGGTCACAACCGTTAATTGTTTCATCGACTCATTCTGGTATGCTGAGATTGTGTTGAAAATCAGGCTTATTAGGCCCGATGCCGACGTGGCGATCTGGTCAAGCTCCGACAGGATACTGAGGCAGTGATCCTCCACATCCCCGAGATACGTGTGGGCCAGTGGCGAGATGTCAACAGTGGAGGTATGCGAGACTGAAGGCCCCGATTCATGACGAGTGAGCGTGTTGTTGTTGTTAGCAGCGGCAGGAGAGTTAGGAGCCACGGTGCGGTCGCGGAGGGCGCGGATAAGTGTCGCAATTGGGGAGATGAAGTTGCGCATAGTGGCGGTCTCGGAGGTGAGAAGGTACAGCTCGCGGGTATGTTTGATGTCGGGCTCAGTGAGGACATCAAGCTCTAGCTCCTGAATAATCTCGGAGTAGGCTGTGGCGATGGGCACAGCGTGATCGATTATCGTATCGAGAATGGATTGGACCAGCATAGAAGCGTCGCAAGAGCGGCGAAGAATAGTTTCGGGTGTTGCGAGACGCCGCAGAATCGGCGCCTCGATATCATCCGCAGACTGCTCAAAGAAAGAGATCACGGTGTTGGAACCGTGGAGAAAGACAGAAACCTGCTCAGCGCAAACGGCGAGACCATTGCGGGTCATGGCCGAGTTCCGTTCCATGAAGGTCATGAACTCTGGATTTGGGCCCCCGCCATAACGCTGTAGTGTTCGCAGTTGGGAGCCAGCACGCTTGTACCGCGCACTGTGACCTGTCATGATATCCTCTGGAGACTCGGAGGAAACTGCTGCCCTCGCTCTGGCGACTGAGGGGTCTTGGCGGCTGAGTCTGTGCAAGAGCTTTGACAACCAGCCCCGTTTCTCCTTGACACTGCCTGTGGGCGATTTTGAGAGGTCGCTCTCCTCGTCGGAATCGCTGTCAGAATCACAGTCTTCAGGCAACTTCACGAGCTTCTGGAGAGTTAAGATGAGAAAAGTATGATCCGAATACCTATATTATATCAGCACAGAGTTTCCATTAGTAGTTTTGGGTAGCTTACCAGTCTGCCTTCGTTCTATTCTTCGTATTGACCATATCCTCTATGGCAAGACTGTGGAGATTCTTATATTTGCCCAATGCCTGAATAACGTCCCAACTCAGTCCGTTGACATTGATCCATCGACATTTTGCCCAGGCCAACTCTTCCGACCCTTCCTTTTCCATTTTCTCTGTCCTCTCCAGCCACAATGGCAGTGTTTCGTTTGTCAAACGGCGCATCACCATATCGTCTTCACTGTAATCTACGACCGTGATATCGCACTCGGCGCGCAGAGGGAGAAGCTGCTCCCGTCCTCCATTGGGCCTCGCAGGATCGAGTCCTGGCTCCTGGCCAGGCTTCCATAGCGGCCGGCGTGGGTTGTCGACCACAGCTGGGAAGGTTCCCCAATATGTTCCAATGTGGCTCTTCCGCTGTCGGAGTATAGGCGCAACGTTGTGATTGTCGGCTTCAGTCGCGATGGACGTTTGGGTATCAACGCTATGTAGCGGAGGGTAGAGAGAATTCTTCCTTCCCGCCTCAATATCAGGCCCATCGTTGGCTATTGGTATTTCGCCTTGTGCTCCTAAAGGCGATCCAGGGGCGAAGTCCCTGGATGCGGCCATTATTGTTGCGCCTTGTCGCGCCTTGTCGCGCCTGGGGACCTGAATCTTGGAGGGGTTGATACAACGGCTGTAGCCAGCATCAAGCACGATTCTCATGAACGCATGGGTACCAAGCAATTGTACTAATAATACAAATATATATCCATCGCTTGCGCCAGCAATATTCGAGGTGACCGTCGAGAAATCTAAACCTTCAAGCGGTCATCCACATTTCGGAATCTCCAATGCGTTTCCTTGGCACGACTGTTGTCTGAGCTAAATAGGCACTAATGTCGCCAAGGCATAAGGCTGTTGTTTAATTTTGACGTGTCCCAATATTACATACGTGCAAATATCCCAATGAGTACTGGGAGTTGAGATTCATTTAGATCTAAAATCATCAGTTATTGCATATAATTACAAGAATATGGCGCATATAATACATATTATCTATAGCTGCGTCCTCTTGTACGCCCAGTACGCACTCCAAGGTAAACTTAAGGACCGTCCCCTGACTTCCTCCCTGAAAATATCAAAATCCGCCTTCTCAAGCTTCTCCAGCCAAAGCCTTGTCGACACTGCCGGCATGAGCACGCCGAATCCCCTGGCAAGTTCTTCAGCCGCAGAGTTTTGCGGTTCATTCAAGTCTCGGCCTTGCATTCCATAGTCGTGTCCTTCCTCTCCCTCATGCTCAAAGTCGTGACCCATGTCTTTCCCTTCCTGAAGACGCTGTAGCATATTCCTCGCTGTTATTAGATGATCATTTGCCCGAGTTGCGACCTGAAATACAGCGTCCTTGAGGCCCGGCGCATTGGCACCTTGACGCAAAACGTCCTCCTGCTTCGTATTTGTATCTGCCATGACATCAAGCGGAAGCAGAACTGCTCCTTGGCGAGCACCACCTTCGCCCCCTAAAGATCCTGCTGATGCTCCGCTATTACTATGGTGATTAGGTGGAGGCGGAAAGGCAATGAGAGGCATCCCGCGAAGCACAGCTGATATCCCTGCCGCTTTACCAATGTGGCTGGCCAAATGGTCTATTGACATAGAGTGAAGGGGAAGGAATCCCAGCGTTAAGTACATCAACGTTGAATAGGTAGCCTCAGCATAGTTCTCCAGCGCATCCATGGTCGGGTATGGGCGATTATCCATGTACTGCTCTCGGGCGTTTATGACCTTCATGAACCAGGCCTTTAAACTCGATGTGGGCGCATTCGGGTGGCGTTCTTTGAGGGACTGGAGTGCATGGTGGAGGAGAATAGCCACCGGCTCTTTCGGCGGCGTATTCGCAAACGTCCGTGTTATGTTGTCGCGCCAGAATTGCATGCGCAGGGCGCCAATTGTAGGGTTTGAGACCAGGTCGGGAATGCGCGAGAGCTCAATGTTAAGGGCACGGATTGCGAGGTAGGCATCGCGGGTTGGAGCCGGGATGAACGTCTGTAACGTATATGAAGGCGAGTCAAATTTTCTGAACACGCATTAGCTCAAATGGACAAGCGCAAGTTAGGGATAGGGTAGGTACTGGACAAGCGTTGAGCAGTAGCTTCGCGCTGAGCTGATGTCCTGGTCTGTCAACCGGGAGGCATTTGGCGCCGGCGAGCTATATGACGTTGTCGCATATGCGCATTTCGCCGTTGAAACCCGCCGAGCCGTATATTTCAGCCTAATACTGGCTCGAGTAGAGTACATGGTTATTGGTTAAGGAGCTGGGGATTTGATGCCTATGGACCTTTGACATACTTTCATTAAATATAGCAAACAGAGCAAACTCGTCTTTCCCACACCCTGTCTACGGCTTTACACGAATTACACACGCAGGCACGTGACACACTTGAAAGAGAATCGTCATTCTACAACGACGATTAGTTGTCGCCGACACTTTTATACGAATAAATCCCCTTGATATACCCGATTGTGAGCTTCTCAAGAACATGAATTAGTGAAAATTATAGAGCTGGTATGGCGATCTCCAAAACCACATTCTAGCCAACCCGGCCCAAGTTAGATGCGATTAGCAATTTACGCGACTCGCGTGTCGAACCCGACGATCAAACCACAATTTCGATGACCTAACACTTAAGACGAGGCGTTACGCGGTTGTTTGGATAATGGACTCCTTTGATTCAGACGGACGACCGGCGAAGAAGAGAAGGTTCTTTACGGATAAGCCTGAAGAGCTTGAGGTCGATGAATCCAGTCCAGCAACCCCAGGACCTACCGAGCTTGATACCACTGCCTCTGAAGCAGGACACAGAAGTCCCAGAGCAGCAATTCTAGACGACCGCGATGCGCAAACGAACGTGCAACATCATACGAGCTCCGAGAGCGCACTGGTCTCTGACCGGGAAACATTCGAGCTCGTCATCGGCGACAAGATCGATTCCGACACCTGGCGACTACTGAAGCAAGCGTCTGGAGATAATATGGAAAGGGCGATAAATATGTACTTTGATGGGTCATGGAAAGGCCCAACAGTAGCAGTGGCTTCAACTCCGAGCGCCGCTGCGTTACAGCCCTTGACGATAAACCCTGTGAAACCAGAAGTGCCCAATGTTGGGCGAAGCTCAAAACAAACCCTGCACCCGATTGCAAATCTTCGGCGGATACCCGAGTCCCGGTATATAGGCGCTTTTGGCGTAGAGGGGTGGGCCACCAGAAGTGGCACAGCCCTTATTAAGCATGGGGAGAGAGTGCGGATCGAGCGTCAGAAAATTCAGCCACCAAAGCTTCCGCCAGTTAAGGTAGGCAAGAACAAAATCGCTCCATTGCAAGTTACACCAAAGACAAAGGGCGCTGCTTCCCGGAGAATAGATGTTATTGTGCGGTTTACCAATTCTAGGGGCGAGGAGGTTGGAAGGCTTTCGAGAGAGACGGCAAATTGGGTCTCGACTCTAATTGACCAACAAGTATGCAGCTTCGAGGGGGTCTGCGTTTATGCCCCGGATAGGGTGCGAACAAATGATACCATTTTCTTACAGTTGCGTTGCATGCTACTAAAATCTGCATTCGATAACACTGGATTCAAACCACCAGATAATAGAACGACCGGTCTATTTGAGGAAAAGGAGACTTCCGAGGAAAAAGACCTGCGCTTACGGCAAGTTGCACTGGTTAAACTCTTGGTGGAGGTGAATCTTCTCCCTTCAAGAACGAGCGAGACTACTACAAAGCACAAGCGTCAGGGCCTTCTTCAAGCTGCTGAGGTAGCCGAGCAATATGAAAAGGAGGCAGCAAAAAACGAAAAGTCAGGAGGGGAACCTGGCTCTTCGCCGTCATCGGATACCGAGGAAGGCAAGGAATTAGAACAGGACCAGCTGGATACCTTGTACAGGAAGGCCCAATCTTTTGACTTCAGTGCCCCTGAAGCGGAGCCGGCGGATACATTTGCGATGGACCTAAGGCCTTACCAGAAGCAAGCGCTGCACTGGATGATGGCAAAGGAAAAAGATGAAAAGGCAGAGAAAAAAGAGGTATCTATGCATCCTTTGTGGGAAGAATATGTATGGCCGGTGAAGGATATGGACGACCAAGAATTGCCATCAGTAGAGGGCATAGATAATTTCTATCTCAATCCCTACTCTGGCGAACTGTCGGTCGAATTCCCTGTACAAGAGCAGCATTGCTTGGGAGGGATTTTAGCCGATGAGATGGGCTTGGGAAAGACGATTGAGATGATGAGTCTGATCCACTCTCATAAATCTGATGTCGCGATGAAATTACAAGACGGAGAGCCTACGATAACTTCTGTCAACCATTTGCCTAGGCTGCAAACGTTCTCTTCCGTCGAGAGAGCCCCATGCACCACTCTCGTCGTTGCCCCTATGTCACTTTTGGCACAATGGCAGAGCGAAGCTGAGAATGCGTCCAAAGAAGGAACACTGAAGAGCGTTGTATACTATGGCAATGAGAAAGCTGTAAATTTGCAGAGTCTATGCTGCGCAGCCAATGCTGCTTCTGCGCCAAATGTTATCATCACGAGTTATGGTGTAGTCCTATCGGAGTTCAACCAGGTGGCAGCAAGGAATGGCGACAGAGGCACTCATGGTGGCCTATTTTCGTTGAACTTCTTCAGGGTTATCCTAGATGAAGCGCACCACATCAAGAACCGACAATCAAAAACGGCAAGAGCGTGCTACGAAATCGAGGCAGAGCATCGATGGGTCCTGACTGGCACGCCAATTGTCAACCGCCTCGAAGACCTCTTTTCGTTGGTTAGGTTCTTAAGAGTTGAGCCATGGAGCAACTTTTCCTTCTGGAAAACATTCATCAGTGTGCCATTTGAGAGCAAAGACTTTATGCGTGCTCTTGACGTTGTGCAGACGGTCCTTGAACCGCTTGTGCTGCGCAGAACGAAGGATATGAAGACGCCGAGTGGTGAGGCCCTCGTTCCCCTGCCGCCGAAGACGATAGAGATTGTGGATGTAGAGTTATCTGAGGCCGAGCGCGAAGTCTACGAGCATATATTCTTTCGTGCGAAGCGCGCATTTGCTGCCAACGTTGAGGCAGGCACAGTAATGAAAGCGTATACGTCAATTTTCGCACAGATCCTCCGGCTCCGCCAGACTTGCTGCCACCCAATCCTAGTTCGGAAGCAAAACATTGTTGCGGATGAATTGGAAGCTGACGAAGCTGCTGACGCTGTGAGCGGACTTGGTGACGATATGGACTTACAAAGTCTCATCGAGCGCTTCACAGCCGAGACAGATGACAGCGCAGATGCCAACGCTTTTGGTGCGCACGTCCTCGAGCAAATCAGAGACGAGGCGGATAACGAATGCCCCATTTGCAGCGAAGAGCCAATGATCGAACAAACCGTCACTGGATGCTGGCACTCGGCATGCAAGAAGTGTTTATTAGACTATATCTCGCACCAGGTAGACAAGGGCGATGCGCCACGCTGCTTCAACTGCCGTGAACCTCTCAATACGCGCGACATCTTCGAGGTTGTCAAGCATGACGTCGACCCCGATGCTCCAGACGCGAAGCCACGGATTGCATTGCAGCGTCTTGGTTCAAACTCAAGTGCTAAGATTACGGCGCTGATCAGTCAACTCAAGGCCCTGCGACGCGAGCACCCAGGCACGAAGAGCGTTATATTCAGCCAGTTCACGTCGTTCCTGTCTCTGATTGAGCCAGCGCTGACACGTGCTGGAGTGGCCTTCTTGCGGCTGGATGGGACGATGGCGATGAAAGCGCGGGCAGCCGTGCTGAAAAGTTTCCGCGACGCAAAGGGATTCACCGTCATACTACTTAGTCTTCGGGCTGCAGGGGTGGGGCTCAACCTCACCATGGCGCGAAGGGTGTATATGATGGATCCTTGGTGGAGTTATGCGGTTGAGGCGCAGGCCATTGATCGCGTTCATAGAATGGGGCAAACGGGAGAGGTGGAGGTGAAGCGGTTTATCGTGCGAGAGAGCGTGGAGGAACGGATGTTGCGGATACAGGAGCGGAAGAAGTTTATGTGAGTTTTACTATCTCTCTTTATTTTATTGCGCGTTTATGTGCGTTAGAGTTGGGCTTGTGATGTGGTGGGGGTAAGGGTGTGGGAAGTCCAGCCTATTATCCCTATCCTGCGCATGCCCACCCACCTCAAAAGCATGGATACGTCCACAACTTTCACATACGACCATAGATTCAAGAGAATTGGGCATCCCGTCCGCTCTGCCATACACAAGCTTGAAATCGGTAGATTAGTAGTTGGGTGGGTGACCACCAGCGAATACCTACTGTTGTATGTTTTTTTTTTGCTGTTTTCGACTTTCTCATTCGTTGGCCTGACGGGCCTCGGTGAATGAAAGATTAGAGATCGAAAGGCTGACCTGTTGCGTGCAGTGCGAGCTCTCTAGGCATGATGAGCGACGAGGAAAAGAAAGTACAGCGCCTCGAGGATATTAAGGAGCTCCTTAGCTAAGTGCCGCCTCTGGATTTGATCTGGCAGGGGCGGTACATTCTCAGGGCCGGTATATTCATGAAGGGGCCTTGTTTTGGCGGGTCGTTATTAGGGAAAAGAATAACGCTGGAACGACTCTGGATACTGTAATTTAAATTAAACTTTGGATACGGTATGAATCTAGAATTCCACACGTGAAGCACAGTGAGACGAAATACCCTTGGCAAGGAGGCTACCACTAACGCAACTGTGTGATAGCAGCTGGTGGTGGTGGCTCTGTAGCACTCTAGAGATTTGTTCGGTTTCTCGATTGGCTCATGTGGCTCTGGACGCCCCATGAGAATTACAATAGTTTCCTCAGATGATCGAGGCTCCAATTTATCCCCGGAGATTATGAGCGGGGACCCTTGTAGATCGCACTGGACTTCGCCCCGGCCCGCTTTTCGACCGACTTCGCCAACCTTAAACCACCATCTACAGATACTAGGAACACGCATCCAAGCCGACCATAATTGGCTCAAAACAATTGGGCATCTTGTTTTCCAGGTGATACACAAGCTTCTGCCAATCATGTCGTAAGGGTCATTTTGATTGATGTTCTTGGACATTTGTTCCAGCCACCTATCGACGAACGGGAAGTGGTAAGCGCTATGTGAGAGCCAAGAAAGGGATAGCTTGGCGAATTACCCCTAAAACGCCCAAGATGCTAGGGATCGCTCTCCCACGATAATTGATTTCTGTGGATAAGTGTATTTAGTCAGAGAACAGACGAATGAAATGGCCATCACGGGTCTTATCAGTGAGTGCCCCGTATGTTTGACTTGGCTATTGACCGACCGTCGGGCCAAAGCCTTTTGGGGAAGGCTTATCACGAGGCGCAATACCTGATGCTACACCTTGGCATAGCTTCCAGTTTTAAGACCGTCACAAATTCCTTGGCCTCGTTTTTTTTTAGATCTGCTGGCGACGATACCGAAAGCCACGCAATAATATCGTATGACTATGAGATTCCATGAGCTAGACGCAAAGTCGTCCGGCCAGTGCCGCGGCAGCGATGGCACACAAATATGATGGGATGGCCGCCTCAATGAGTATATTTCTTCTTGACTTCTCCTTTTCCAATAATTCAGTATATACTATCATCGTTGCCTCTGCTACTTGTTTACTTTTCGTTTATATCACGTTTTCAAGCACTTTGATTTTTTTGGACATATACTTCCGTTCTTTACATATCATCTATCGTTGTCGAAGTAAGCAGGTCTTGCAATGTCAACATTTATTGCCCGGATCTTGATGATCGCTGCGTCTGTGACGCATGCATCGGCGTCGTGCGCGTACGGAACCCATCTATCCCCCCGTGCGGAGGAGGGAGCCCCTATTGAAGTTAATACCTTTGGGTACACGGGTGTCATTGTACGATATCCCCATCCACCACTAACTTACCTTGCTCCATTATACTCTACCATCGTTTGGATATATTTCCAGACAAAATACCGTTACTAATTAAACATTCATTTACCAGGGGCCATTAAACTGGGCTGCACTCGATGGAGGCTCCGCGAACGTCTTGTGTGCAACTGGAAAGAACCAATCGCCTATAGACATGGTTGATGGCGTTTTTAAGACGTTGACCGCTGCCGATGTGAAGCTTCAAATCAACGATATGCCAGAGGGAACTGAGTTCGAAAACTTGGGTACAACCGTCGAGGTGGTTAGCAAGGGTGGATCACTTGAAGTTGGTGGAAAGACGTACGAGTTCAAGCAGTTTCACTTCCATTTGCCGAGTGAGCATCTGGACAATGGGACTAGCATTGCCAGTATGGCCGCACCTGATGGACTATAGTAATGAGAGGAACAAAGCTGACATCACCTAGTGGAAATGCATATGGTATTCCAGACACCAGAAGAGGATATCGCTGTCGTCGGTGTCTTCGTGGACCTCGACACCGGTGTCGCCGCCGCTGCCGATGCTGCTACCGCTCAAGTAATAACGCCGCCGGCGGCGAAGCGTGACCTTGGCCGTCATCCACACTCCCGCCGTGGCGAGGCCGCTTCCGCACCACGAGCTGATAGCCACCTCAGCGCCATTGTTCAGCTTCTTACATCATCACTTGCTACAACGACTGGCACTTCGTCCGCCCTTCTGGAAACCGTCTTTTCTCAGGTGGCTGAAGTAGCTAGCCCCGGATCGGTAGTCAAGACTCAGCCGCTTGTCATGTCTGAAGTCGTCAATACTCTTCTCGCAGGATCATTCCAGAGGTAAGCAGATGGTTGAGCCTGATATTAATGCGAAAGAATCTCCGAGACAATAAAGCATGCCCTGCCATCCGAAGTTATGCTGACCAGTGGTGATGTAGTTACTCTGGGTCCTTGACTACCCCTCCCTGCAGTGAAGGCGTAACGTGGCTCGTCTCGACACAAAAGTTGAAAATACAAACCGCAACATTCGAAAAGGTGCGCTCTGTCATCGGATTCAACGCTCGGTATCCACAGAATACCCCTGGTTTCAATAACTTGCTATCTGTCGGTGCCCAATCTGCTGTCGCGGCAAAGGCCGCAGCAGCAGTCCCGGCAGTCCCAGCTGCGAAGATATAAATTAGATGGTGGTGTAAGTGGGGTAGATAAATGGAAAGTCCCTTGAGTGAATCGATAGCTCAGCGCGTGCCACTAGGTCGTTGCAAAGGTTGCGCTTAGGGGGAATTGTAGATATCTTTGTGTGTTCGTACATCGCCAGCATCTTTGCGTAGCCTTAGTCCCGTCCTGTGTCCAAAGTCTCATAGATTTATTCAAGCCCAGCTTTGATCGCTCGTGAATACATTGCTATTACCCACGGTTTTCAGTGCAAGAGAGTTGTTTTGTGTGCATTCATGTTCTTGCTAGTTTATTATACTACAATATAAGGCTAACTTCTACATACAACCGTAGACTCAGAAGATAAACAAAAACCGCTATGCTTAACCAAACACACTTGCAACTAAAATTGCTGTCATAATGAAACCAAAATATACTATAGCTCAACAGACGTACAGTGCGGCCATTATTGAAAATCGTCTTCTTATAACTTTTCCACCGCTCATTTAGTTTATGGCTGCTCAGAGTTCGCGGCCCTATATTTCGGATTTGGCTGATGAGCCAGAAGAAAGGTTAAGGTTCTATTGTGTGGTCAGTTTAAGTCTCTCTTATCGCTTTGGCTTCTGGTGCAAAGCTAGAGATATTCGAAAAGGAGTGGAACACTCACTCATCGAGGGGTAGAAGGGTACTGACTATCATGAATAAAAAAGTACCAAAAAATTAAACTTCGGCACCTGAAGGTGCGACCCGGACTGGAGATGGGAGGTGTGGCGCCGAATCCACGCTGTCTGCATCTTGTGATTGTTGGACAATCCCGGCTTCGCCAATTTCGTATAGTGGCACGACTGTCTTGGCAAAGTTTCTGGCGCTAATGCCGTTGGCAAACAACCAGTCTATTTCTCCAAATGTACGGCCTTTCAGCTCTGGAACTCGGAAGTAAACATATATGCAGCAAAGGAAGCACGAGGCTGCCCAAAACCAAGCCGCATTAGCTCCCCAGTTCCAGGCAGTGGTGTTAAGCATAAAGGGAGTAATAATGCTGTTGAAAACACCGAAGGATAAGTATCCAATGCATCCAATGTTCATTGTCTTGGATCTTAAACGTGTTGAGGATATCTCGGAGACAGCCGTATAAGTTATAGGCCCGACGCTGGATCCGTATACAAAGGTGAAAACGAGGAGCAGGCCACTCTTAACCCAACCCGACGTCTCTATAGAGATTGAGAGAGAGGCTACTGTGCCCACACTGCAAAGGACTAAGCAGAGCAAGGCAAGGCCTGTAAGCTCAATGGTTCGGCGGCCGTATAGTCCAATAAAAGCCCAGCTTCCGCAAAAACCAACAAATCCAACGACGTACTAAAATGACAATTAGTTCTTATTCGTAAACAATTAAGGTTGAGTAAAAGAAAGAACTTGGTACTATCAAAAGGCAGGATTGTGTTAGATGTAATGGATAAAAATTACTTGCCTGCATAATTTGCATCATGAAAGCCTTTTCCTGGGTAAGGCCCGCTTCGACAAAGAAGTAGGCAGACCATTGCATGAGGGCAGTGCCACATGCGTTTTGAATCGTCCAGAAAACAACGGTAATCTCGGTGCGCCGAAGATTCGCGGGCCGGAAGCAATCAATATATCCCACACCATTATCCGAGCTGTTGATGTTGTTCTGGTTCGTCTCTATTATTAAATCGAGGTGGTCGTCAACTGAGTATCCCGCAGGTATATGTTTCTTGCTAACAAGTTTGCTCAGAGCTACCCTTGCCTCTTCGATCTTGTTGTGGCGTACAAGCCACCATGGCGACTCTTGTGCGATGATAGCAACGACGAAAAGCGGGAGTGGGAATGCCCATTGCAGACCAAGTGGAAGCTTATACGAGAGCTCCGTCGAATTCTTCACTAGAACTTGTAGGACAATGGATGCGCCCAATTGACCAATAATCCAGCAAACGTTGGTCCAAGCAGTAACGTATCCTCGGATCGCAGTTGGACAAATATCGGAAGCATAGTTTGTCGTAATGGTTTGAAAAATCCCCCAAGGGATACCACAAAGCAACGAGCCGACTAGGAATATAGGGAGCGATGTGGCAAAGAACGTAATAAAGGTGAATCCCGATAGCAAAGACAGAGCTGCTAATATCGTCTTTTTGTAGCCAAACTTCTCCACAACCCAGCCGGATAAGAATAACCCCATGATTTGTCCAGCCATAGGGCCGAGGATTACGCTGGATTGCCACGATGCTGGAATCTGGCATACCTCGGTGAGGGAAGCCCCAGGGCAGGCGAAGTCGCGTCGAAAGACTGGCAAGGTGACGAAGCTCGCAAGCAGAACGAGGCCGTAGCCTACTATCGCGCAGGCAAGAGAGAGAGTCAGAGACATGGCGACAGCTTTTCGGAACCCCACGACGCATTCTTTCAGAGTCATCGATTTCTCAACGAGTGCCGCCCTTTTAGCACCATCTTGTCGATTGAGAATAGTTGTATGTTTTTCATTGTTGGATTCGCTGCTAGCCGTGCTTCTCTTGAACATGCTTGCAGTATCGCTCGACGTTTTGCTATCGGCGGTGGGCATTATGAATACACCCTTTAAAAACAAGGGGGCATCAAGCGCTGATAAATGTTCTAGAATTTGAGCGAAGGCAGAGACAGTATTTATCCAAAAAGGGCAAACTTTACGACAGGCATCTCATATATACGATTTCGATGAGAATCCACTTTGCAACTAGGCAGAGCTAATAGGAATTCCTTCCGTCTATCCTAAGGAATTTTGCGTTAAAGTCAACGAGCGGGCGGCAGCAGTCCAATAGGAGTTTCTACATTTAGTCAGAGACTCTTTACATACACGGGACCTCTCCAGCCTCATCAGCAGCGCGCTTGAAGTCGGCGGCTGACATCTATAGTAGATTTCATTGAGGCGGTCTAGTTTAACTGCTTCGTAATAAGTCTAAATATCCAAGACATCTTTTCCGCGCTCTGACGCAAAGTCAAGTATATTAGCCCATTATAGCGTCTCTAGACTTAAAAACAAAAAGAACCTCTGCAACTACAATCCTAACAGTTCTAGACCATTCTATGAGAGATGGGGCGATAAATATTCATATTTGGCCCCTGACACAGCAGGGGGGCGTCATTTGTGGGAACCCTTATCTGATCTTTAACCCGGTATTTACATATAAGTCCGCTTTATCGTCATTGTCCCTTACAAGTGTCTCCCTCTTGTCTGTGGTAATGCATGGGATCGAAGCACAGCCTCCGAAGATCCCCAGGTGATTCTCTCCATTCAGAATAATGTACATAGTACTTATGCTCATGTGCACCATCAGACGGTTTTTATGACGATGGATCGAAATCGAAAAAATATCCTATTGAAAAGGGTTATTTGTATAGGGCTGGGTGACTCCCTGTGCATGTTTAGTTTGGGGCCAGTATCCACCTCCATGGCGGCGGCGCAGCGGCTGTAGCTAACGGTGACAACCTAGTAGACCAATCGCAGTGTATCATTTTGCAGGCACTCATAGCTATAATTTCTAGTGGCTTGCAGGTAAGACATTCGCATAAAACCGTTATGTTTACTAGCAGTCATTATGCGATGAGGCTGTAACCCCGCTAGCATCATGTGAGACCTGCGTTCTGCGGGCCTCACGCACTTTCATCATCCGGATTCTAGACCCAGTGACAGACGGGTCTAGACAAGGCGGATCACAACGACTTCATATGGTACGATCTGGGGCCTTATTTATGCTGTTCACGAGATTAAAATAGAACGGGGAAAGGGCAGCCGGAGCCCTATCGCGGTCCGCGCGGTATGAATCACAATCCCCTTCATTAGCATCTCCGCTCGATCGTTGTCGTCACGGACCGAACCGACGAAACAACCGTTACGTTACCTCTTATGTTTCACCCAACCCCCCGGCATGACTAGAAATAGAGTCGAGACTTTCACCACACCAATATAGGTTACCAAAACACACTGATATTTGTTGTTAGGGTAGTGACTGGCAGCGAACCCCCACTCTGCAAATTTGTACCGTGCGGGTGGTGCCCGGTAGAAAACCGATCGATCGAGGAGTCGATCTTGCCGTATTAGACCGAATGTTATCAGAAACGAACCCATGGAGAGCAGTTTGAATGAGTTTCACGATTCGTTCGGATTTCGGCATAGGGACCTTGGGATAAAAAGGGATATTGGTACCCTGCTCAAACCCTATTTGAAAATACATAAAATCAATAAGACATTAACAGAAGCTCTTCCTTGTAAAGAAGGGTATCCTTCCCCGTCATTTCGGTAAGTTAACAGTCTCCCCGCTCGGCAATAAGTACTGAGTCGCGTATCCCACAGTAGCTAACGCCTTCGACGTGTTCACCCAGTGCTCTTCGTCCTTGACCGCTCCCAGCCACTCTGGATCTGCCATTACGTTTTTGATCGACTGCGTATCAGACACCACATACTCGATAAAGCAGTCAAAGTCAGCAAAATCCCAGGCGGGTCGATACCTTCCAAGGTCCTCCTTCATGGCGCTATTCAGCGTTGGCGGCGTGACGGACTGGACGCCTGATATCAGCACTATAGTGATCTAACGTAGAGAACGCTCACAAGTGTATAGCCAAGGATTCCGTGCTTCTTGAAGACGGGAATAGCAAGAGGAAGGTGGCCCTCAACGATCCACTTAATAAAATCTTTATGTGTATGTTGGGGCTTGCGATAGTGGGTGATGGTGAATTTCAGAGGCTGACCTTGCCTTTACCCGCCATCTTGATAGTTTGTTATAAATCTACAACGTTATGCCAACTGATCAATTCCTCACATGAGCAGGGCTGTGTTGCGGCTGGCGTGCATTCTGAGATCGTACTCCGTGAAAGCCTTCAAGCCAAGAACCATAGCTTCGATTATAGTGTATATATACGTGTCTCACATCTCGTATCACTGTGAGCATTAACCTTCTTACCCTGATTGGCCCCGACCGCGGACCGGAGCCAGTGACCCGAGCCGGTGACGCCTCGCCGCCTCAGCCCGGCGGACCTACCCGTGACACTCAGGTGATCGCACGGACAACTATTACCCCGGCCTTTCCTTTTCCCGGCCTCTCCTTTTTGCAAGAAGGACTGAACAGAGATTCTCTCTATATTGCGTTGCTCTATATAATATTACATAAAAGAGTATCCTCCCAGCCACAAGTAGGCTAGGCAACCCAGTAAACTTCCCACTGCCCATAGCAGATCGAGCTCGATGACTGACCAAATCCATATCACGCCTAACGGCGGAGCCTGCTTTAAGACGGCGTAGTAGCTGTATTCGTTGGTGATGTGGATCAGATAGCAGCCACTCCCAACACTGCTTGCGAAGAAGAGAATTTGGTGAAGGAGTGACGGGATGCGGGGAAAGTAGGCCGCCGGAACCGAGTGCGGGTGTAACGCGTAAAAGAATACAAGTATGACTGCTGTATATTAGTACCAACAACAATTTGGGCACGATGGTAAAAACGTACCGCCAAAGGCCTGCAGCGATTGCGTGATGACACGCGGCCAGGACAGCACTTCAGCGTATTGATGCTGAGTGAGCACATCAAGGGTAAAATGGAGCATCGCGAGGCTCGAGCTCCATAACACAGCTTCCCCAAAGCGCCCTATTATAGGCTGTTCATCCCGTAGAGGAACCGACCCAGCTGGGAGCTTTCCGGGCTTCCGATTCTCAGTCTCAATGTCGAGCAGTCCTCGCTGAGCGGCTAGATCGAGAAGAGTCTGCCTACTGGGGCCAGGGCCGGATTTGTCCGGATGGGCGAGTGGGATGTCTGACGACGATACGTCCTTTTGACGGCGTTGACGCGCCATGGTTCTATGTGCAGGTAAAACCGATCTCTCCTAAGGTTGGGTTCTATGTCCAGCTCCAGCTAAAGCCGGTCTCTTCCAAAGTTGGGTTTTCGGTGGTGGCCTGGCGTTGTGTTAGTAGTGGATCGTTCCTGCACCTTAGAGAAGTCTCCTACTTGCGTGCTTTGTCAGACAGATATAAAAACTGTTGAGCACGTGTTCTGGCGTCTATTTCTTAAGTGACACCCCGCTCAAATACCACAAATGCTAAATTGATAACGCAAGGTAGAGTGCATGTACCTTACATTGACGCGGCAGTCTTTTTAAGGTTTTGTGGGCAGGGTTGTTCTTCTGGTCTGGCCGTGGACTGGCACGTCCAAGCGACATTGCTACTGGCGACCTGGCGACAATATAACTGGACCCCTATTTCGTTTTGATACCCTGCAAACGCCAGGCCCGCACCCTTTCCATACCGTTTCCTGGCGCGCTTCCCGTCTACCCCTTCCACTACCCCCCACTAAAGTAACACTATAGCAACACTACAGGGGCATTGTTAATCTGCTAATCTGCCCTGACCACCTACGACCGTTACCCCGGATCTCCAAATGAGGCACTAATCTAATCGGTATCGAAGTCGCAACCGTGGCCTTTCATCCCCTCCATCCTCGCATTCGCGTCTACAGCCTCGTGCTGAACTCCACTACTGCAGCGGAACCGATCTGTGTAATCGTCGCACCATGATGCTCTGGGTTACACTTTCCACTCTCCCTATCCTCCTCGTCGTCGTGTGGCTGTATACCGTGGCGACGGTCAAGGGGCGCTTCCCGACTTTGAAGAACAGGCGGATCTGTTTACTTATCGCCCACCCCGACGATGAGGCCATGTTCTTCGCGCCGGCGCTGCTGGCCTTGACAGACCCGGCGTTGGGGAACCACCTCAAGATCTTGTGTTTAAGCAGTGGTAAGTATTGCCAATGTCGCGATTGGGTGAAGGTTGCTAACCAGGCTGCCAGGCGATGCCGATGGGCTGGGCGAAACACGAAAGAAGGAGCTGGTCAAGAGCGGCATGCTGCTCGGCCTACGAAATGAAGACGACGTGTTCGTTGTCGAGAACCCGTAAGTCAGCCCCCGCCTTCCTTCCCCCGCACCGCGATAACGCACAGTTCGCTGACCCCTTGCCCCGCAGCGACTTCCAAGATAGCATGACGGCGACTTGGTCGAAAGAGAAGATCGCCTCGCTCCTCTCCTCCGCATTCGCTCCTCACCTTGCCAATACCCTCACCTCCAAGTCCGCCGACGCGCCGACCGCCACAATCGACGTGCTCATCACCTTCGACCGCTCGGGCGTCTCCGCGCACCCAAACCACATCTCCCTCTACCACGGGGCGCGCCACTTCATCGCGTCCCTCATTAAGAACCGTCCAGGTTGGGACAGCCCCGTCGACTTATACACACTGTCCACGGTCAATGTGGTGCGCAAGTACGCGAGCATCCTCGATACAATCACGAGCATGATGATCGCCGCATTCACGAAGCGCAGCGTGGGCGCACACCCCTCCCCGTTGCTATTCATGAGCGGGGTGGGCGAGATCCGGACGGCGCAGCGCGCGATGACGGACGCACATATAAGCCAGATGAAGTGGTTCCGGTGGGGTTGGATCGGGTTGAGCAGGTACATGGCTGTAAACGACCTGAACCTAGAGAAGATATCATGAATGAGGAGGGGAAAGCGGTGTATCATAGGCGCGAGGGTGTTAATATTGCTTTAGAGATGGGATACAGGAGGGGTTATGCGACTGGGCATCTACTATTCGAGGACTTCAAGGCGTGATCGTGGGAGGCTGTGGAAGACACATAGCAAACTTGGGATATTCTTATTGCCGCTGGGCAAATGTGATCACTTCAATTTCAAAGAGCTCAGTAGTCTGGTACCTGGGTGAAAGATGGTCCATGGCCGCCCCATTGAATATTTATACAAGCGAGGCGACTCCGGTCAGGGATGCGACGGGATCCTATTGCCCTACTTATACCCTAATAGTGATTCCGATCTTCAACAACCCCACTCCGAACTGGTGTATCGGTAACATATCCGCCTCTCACCATTCGAAAGAATTATGAATCCGCGGTTGCGCGGGGTTCGACTCCCCGGTTCGGAATATTTCAGAACCATCTACTCTCAAGTAGATCAGTCAATATTTTTTGTTTTCATGTTGGATATCTTTTTATATCTTTTTGCCAATTCCGTTGCTATTACTTAGTAGGTAGATTTAATATGGCGGTTCAGCTAGGACATATCCTCTTGGTCATTTATTTTTTTCTGAATAGAATATCTCCAGTTTAGTATTTTACTATTTGAAGAGATGGGCAGAAGCTTAAAAACGTCACTCGAGGCGGCCACAGTGAGGGCAGCTAGAAGTACCATGCAAATGGGGATTCTAGAGAATTGTATATTTCCATTGCTTCCCTCCAAAAGAAGAAGCTGCTCAAAGAAGGTGTTGACGCCCATAAACCCATAAAGGGTCCATAAACATTTATTCAAGGCTGGCTGCCGATGGCGGCAACTTCCGCCCTAGTCAAATCGCGATCTTTGATAACCCGCACCACGCCAGCAAGCTCACAGCTTCAACGATCGACACATTCATAATGGCTGATGTTGATGAAGGTCGCGGGGCTCCTATTGATGAGCCCCTTGATCTTGTACGCCTGTCCTTGGATGAGATCGTCTTTGTCAAGCTGAGAGGTGACCGCGAACTGAAGGGCCGTCTCCACGTACGTTATGTCCAAAGAAGCACCTCTGGGCCCATACTGACGTGTCGCACAGGCCTACGATAGTCATTGCAACTTGGTGCTTGGAGATGTAGTAGAAACAGTCTACGTGGTCGACGAGGATGATGAAGATGGAGAGACGTTGAAGGTATTATGGGGAAGCTTCTTGCACTACCTGGCGGGCATTAACATTACAACAGACTATCCACAAGAAGTCGGAGATGCTTTTCGTACGAGGTAAGTTATCTATAATTCGAGCTACCACGCATAATTCTTGGTTACGGAAATACTGACGCCCAATGTAGGAGACAGCGTTGTGCTCATATCACCACAAGCCTCGTCATGACCGACCACGACATTGACCCCGACTGATATCCACGGAGAACAACATATCTCGAAATAACTGGAATATAAGGGGATGCACGCGTCTGATAGGAAATGGAGACTTGTAGGCCGTTGTTGGAGGACCAGGTGGGCGCAAGGCGTCAAGTCGCGCAGCCACAAACCAACCAACAGAGCAATAAAATGCTCAATGAATGACCTTTCCAGTCATAGCCATACATAATCAAAGCAACTTCAGCTCCAAGCTTCGTTCCTATGTACTCTGTAGTTGAAGACCGTGTTGGCCGTGTGCGTCACCGCCAGCTTCCTAGAGTGTGACTCGATAAGGCGTTCTCCCCCACTATATAGACCACATATCCAGCCCAGCTCGGAAGGCACCTATGACATAGACAGACACCACAGCTCACGCCAACAATTCCCAAACCCTCATATACCTTGCGGTTTTATACCATCCAAATGATTATTCGAATACACGGCGACCTTCTAACTAAAGTACAAACCCTACGGCGGGTCGCGACATAGGACTCCGTCCACGAACCAAATCGCACCAGATCATGACAAGCAAAGGGAAACAGCTCCCCCATGAGCGGCGGAAAGGCGAATCAGTATGTGTAACTATATAATGGGATATGCGATCTAGCTAACCCACGTAGGCCCTCAGCGAATTCGCCGAGTACGTTGAGAAACAGCAAGCGACGCGGTACCCGGCGGGTAGCTCCGCCACCGAAGACCACGATGAGCTCGATATCCTCAACTCCCTCGACCTCGCAGACTCAGCACCACAGGTCCGGCTGCGTGAGTTGCTGTTGGGCGATGCAGATGATGCGATCCCACGGCTTGCAGAGGTACTGCGTGCGCGCATCCTCGAGGGACACGGCGAGACAGTCTTCGATATCGGCTTCGAGAACAGTGGGGAGTGCATGAACCTTACAAAGGAGGAGTGGGAGGGTGCACTCGCACGGCTGCGTGAGGCAGCGTCGAATGAGCGTGCAGAGTGCCAGGTCCTGCTTACAAAGAACGTCGGGGGAGAGGCTGAGGCGGAGACGGTTGATGACAAGGAGAAAGAGTCCAGTGGGAAGGTCCTAGTGAGGCAGAACCCCTCGACGGCGGAGGATGTGATTGAGACACGGATAGCCGTCGTGGGGAATGTTGATGCGGGGAAGAGTACCATGCTTGGGGTGCTGGTCAAGGGAGGGCTAGATGATGGGAGGGGGAAGGCGCGTGTTAACCTCTTCCGGCATAAGCATGAGATCGAGAGTGGGCGGACTAGCTCTGTCGGCATGGAGATTATGGGATTTGGCGCGTCGGGGAAGATCATCGTGTCAGATGTCCCCGGCCGCAGCTTGTCGTGGGAGGAGATTGGGAAACGCTCGGCGAAGGTGATATCCTTCACTGATCTCGCTGGGCACGAGCGGTATCTCCGCACCACCGTGTTCGGGATGCTCTCGTCGAGCCCGAACTACTGCCTACTGATGGTCGCCGCGAATAACGGCCTCATTGGTATGAGCAAAGAGCATCTCGGTATCGCGCTCGCGCTCAACGTACCCGTGATGGTCGTCATCACCAAGATCGACATCTGCCCACCGCACATCCTCGAGCAGACTATCACGCAGATAACGCGGATCCTCAAATCTCCTGGCGCACGCAAAATCCCCATCTTCATCTCCGACCGCGAGAGCTGCATCAACACAGCCACACAGTTCGTCTCGCAGCGCATTTGCCCCATCTTCCAGGTCTCGAATGTCACCGGGAAGAACCTCGATCTGGTCCGGACGTTCCTCAACATCCTACCGCACCATGGGCACTATGATTCCACGGCGCCGTTCGAGTTTCACATCAACGATACCTTCTCCGTTCCATTCGTCGGGACCGTCGTGTCGGGCATCGTTAAGAGCGGCGTCGTGCACGCTGGTGACCACGTCCTCGTCGGCCCGGACTCGCTAGGCCACTTCACGCAGACGACGATCCGCTCCATCGAGCGGAAGCGAATACCGGTGCCAGCCACATCGGCAGGGCAGTCGGCGTCCTTCGCGCTGAAAAGAGTGAGGCGACGTGATGTGCGGAAGGGGATGGTGGTGCTTGCGAAGCCAGAGGATGCAGCTGATGCGCCGCGCGTGTTCCGCGAGTTCGTCGCGGAGGGTACGTCTTCTCCCCTTTTACTCTTCTTTTCGTAGACTAACTCTAACAGTCCTTATTCTCTCTCACGCCACGACTATCAAGCCCAAGTACCAGGCTATGCTCCACGTCGGGCCCGTCTCGCAGACGTGCACCATCATCGCCATTGACCGAGCGCACATCCGTACTGGAGACCGCGCGACGGTGGCGTTCCGGTTTGTGCAGAGGCCAGAGTATCTGGTTCCTGGCGATAGGTTGCTGTTCAGAGAGGGCAGGACGAAGGGGCTGGGTATTGTGAAGAGCGTGGGGTACGATCCGCTGAAGCCTTTGGGTGGGGGTGGTGAGGGCCTTGGGGAAGAGGAGAAGGGGAAGGAGAAGGAGGTGGGCGATGATGTCGCTGGAGAGGCTGGAGAGGGGAGTTCTGCTGCTGCCGCGGTCGCTGGCACTGCGGTAAAGGGAGAGTAATGTATCACCGGATGGGCAGAGAGGGAGTATATCACGGAGCGAACTGTCTATATCCATCGTACAAACGGGAGAGAGAGTTTCATCGGCATCGTTGGTTCTGCATTTCACATCACTGGGCGGATGTTTTTGGCGTTATTTGTTATTTGTTTTTTTCTTTACCTCTTTCTAATCAGCTCGCCATAGCTCTTGAATAGGAGATACTGTGGATAATTCGGCTCAAACCCGATTTTGAAGATTTCGGGATGTACCATGTCGTATTGAGTACTGTTTATTGATGTAAGTTGTTACAAGTCTCACTTTATCTCCGGTGATTTGAGAGGTCGGCCCTGAACAGTGAGAGAACAATTTCTGTGGTATTGCTCTTCAGATGAGAGTCTCGGTGTTCAGTTATGAGGCATGTTGGCGTCTCAACTCCATATTGTTCCTGTTAGGTATGAAGGCGTCAATCAACCGCTTTTAGAGATCTACATACACATTGGAATTTAAAAAGCTGATGAACGCGAGATGGATGCTTTAGTGACCGTTGCGGACTTGTGGGTTGCTCCTTCCGTTTTTTTTTTGCAGGCATCTCTACTCAAGTGAGTTTATTCCACACTCTTTGATACAGCGCGTCTGCTAAACGTCATATTCCCCGCCCGCCTACAAGTACTGCCCGTGGAGTCTACCTTTGAGACTTTCAATACGACCTCGAAATGGAGAACAACGGTGGAGAGCAAGATCCCATTGGCAAGCAAGGGGAAACGGCCAGCTTTCAAGGCGAGATGCATGGCAACCTCGAAATGGCGCACAACAGTGGAGAGCGACGACTCATTGACAATCAAGGGGAAATGGCCGCACCCCAAGGCGAAACGGATGGGCCAGATGTCGCCCATGGAGATAATGTCCAACCCAATGAAAATTACCAAGTCCGTGTTGAAGCTGGCAGCGGCACCATCGGTATACTGGTTCCCACAGCTACTGACGGGCATTAAAGCTAACAGAGGCTTTCGGAGCTAGGAATTCGTGGCCCAGTCCCGGCAACGACATTCAGGTCAAGAAAGCATCTCGCGCTTGCTTTCGGGTTCTCTGACGGCGAAGCCTTGGACACCTGGATGAAGAGTGAAGCGTTTCGGCCATACTACTCTGACCTGCTAACGAACCTCAACAAAATTTCGGGTGGAGGTAGCGGATACTCCATTAGAACGATACGACTAGCCGGGGTGAAGGACGCCATAATCTATGAGGAGGAGAACGGAGCCAAGAGATACTCTCGGTTGTATCAGGTTGAACACTTTACCTCCATGGACTGGTTCGCCGTATTCGTTATGCATACCACGGAACACAACTTCGTGAATCCGCGAGGAGCTTTCTTTGGGAAGAATATGACGCCCGACGACATGCGGACCCGGATATGGCAAGCGATGCTACGGGCAAGACTTGAGACTTACCGTCACCGAAGTCGCGGAAAATAGTTCACTGCGAGGCGAGCAGCAGTATAGTGACGGAGGCGGAATAATCGCAGGAGAGTTGAGGAGCAAGGGTCATATGGTGATGAGGAGCGACGAAGATGGAGGAAGAGAAAAAGCCGTTGTATACAGTTTGTGTGAATTACTGTTGCTGAAATCACTGTTGCCATCCAAAGTTGTTGCAATCACTGGTGCCATCCATTCTCCCTTGGGCTTGTAGGCGGCACGAGTACCACTCCCCCTCAACCCCGCGCAGAATCACCCTGTCCATCTCCACCAGGCGCCACCACCAGCAGAACAGGGTAATACCACAGCTCACCCCCTCCACCCTGCACACACAGCCACCCTGCTCCTCTCTAGGGCCACAAAAGCAAAACAAAAAGCACTCATTGCATACAAATTAGCAAAAAACAGCAAAAAATTGATTTGTCCTCAGTGAGGTTCGAACTCACGACCTTTGGATGGAATCACATGACTGTTTGACAGTTACGTCATACTTGAAGTATGAGACCAACGCTCTAACCAACTGAGCCATGAAGACATTTGTTTGATGTACATGGATAGCTTATCGACCTTGATATAAGCAAACTAACCCGTATATCCTGATTTTGACATCATCTCGGAATCTGGGTTGTAGGATTGATGAAATGGACGGAGGGCCGTGAGTTATTCTTGGGATTTGATTTTGAGGGTGTGAGGAGGATGGGGTAGCGCAGGAATTATTTAGACGCTAAAGAAGAGAATTTCGCGCGTAGAAGGAAGGAGCGATGGGGGATAATGTTTTTGGGGGAAAATATAAATAAATCTGTATTAAATGGTTGAATATATTAATCAACACAATACAACATTTCGAAGATAATATTTTTCAGTACTTAAAAATTAAAAATTATTAATATAATCACCATAGGCTCTGAATGATGTCTATATTAAAAAAAGAGTATCAGAATTCCACTTTATATCATATAGTCTTACAACTTGGATCTTGCGGTGGACTCTCGACAAAGAATCCAGATACTACGGCAACCAGACGTTACAATAATAACATAATATATCATTCAATAGAAACTAGCTTATACAAATTCTAAAACATAATCCAACGACGAGCTTGAGCAGAAAACTCGTCGCATAGCCCCATTCATATTATCGGGTCCTCTTCTTACAGCGGGCCCTTATGCAGCTTATTCTTAAGCTTATCCTTCAGACCTAGGTTATCCGAAGCATTGTTGTGGCCCCCATTGGGTGCCGTCGTATCCATCTGTCCCGTTACCTTCTTCTCATCTGCACCGGAGCGCTTGATGCCCTTCTCCATCAACAGGCCTGCCACAATTGTTAGCCCTTGTCCCAACTCACACACACAGGAGAAAACTCACGATCAGCCTCCCTTCCGGCACCAGGAGCACTGGCGTCAAAATCCCCGCCTTCAGCCTTAAAACCAGTGCTCTTAACCCACTGCTCTCCCGTTCCCTGTCCCGCGTTACTCGTGCGACGCAAGCCCTCGCCGCCAGGCTCGCCGGGGAGGTGTGCCGTCAAGCTCTGACGACGGCCGACGGGTGCGCTCCCGGCCGCGGCGCCACCTGTTGAAGCTCCGGCACCAGAAGCGCCAGCGCCAACAGCACCAGCAGCCCCGATAGGTCCAGCACCAGGACCACGAGCAGCCCCGGTAGGTCCAGCTCCAGCACCGGCACCAGTCGGACCAGTCGTAGAACTCTCGCCAACATCCCTAACCTTCTTCCCCTCAGCATGTGCCCTGGAAGGCGTCACATCCGCTGCATCCGCCTCACCACCCTCACCCGCAAATCTTGCTTGCTGTCCCCCCTTCCCCGCCTGCTCCGTCCCCTTACCAGTATACCCCTCCTCGCCAGGCTTATACCCATTCTCATCTCTAGCACCAGCCTCCTCCCTCCTCTGCCCCGCACTCCACAATCCCGCACCTCCCGCGGCAGCACCAGAACCAGCACCAGCGCCGAAATATGCACCAGCACCGCTGCCAGGCGTCTCAGCTGAGCCCATGGCGCGCGCTGCGGTCTCGCGGGCGGAAGAGTAAGAGCCTCCGCCGGCTTGGCGGTCAATGTTGGAGGGGATGGGGATTGTGCCTGCGGCTGGGCCGGAGCGGGGGGAGATGTCGGAGGAGCGGCGGAGTCCGCCTTCGCCGGTGGAGGACTTGGTGGTGGAAGTGGTGGGGGCATATTCGCCAGCTGTGCCGGAAGTGGATGTGGTTGGAGCATATCCACCAGCTGTGCCGGTTGTGGATGTGGTTGGGGCGTATCCGCCAGCTGTGCCTGTAGTAGATGTGGTTGGAGCATATCCTCCAGCTGTGCCGGTAGTAGACGTAGCGGGGGCATACCCTCCTGATGTGCCAGAGGTGGAAGTGTATTCTCTAGCTGTGCCAGTGGTGTTGGTGGGCTCGCCCCTTGAAGCGGCAATGCGCTGCTGAGATCTCTCGTCTGTGGTTGTTAGTTCCTTCTCCTATTATCATAATGAATTAACGATCAACTCTATTCAACAGTTAGCATATATCCTTTATATCTCGCACTGTCGGAAAGGGGTTAAACGCACCACCTAAGTTACCAGCATCATACGGCTCTCCTGCCTTTGTATCCCCTGTCCGTCCCGACAGCGGCTCGTGGGTATACTCTCCCGCGACATTGGTGTGTGTGGTAGTACCCGTCTTACCATGGGTGGTCTGCCCGTGCTCTCCATGCTCGCCGAAGAGGGCTTCGCTGGCGGCGCTGGCGGCGCGGTGGATGGTCTCCATGTTTGCTAATCTTGGTTGGGTTGGTTGAATGCTTCTTGTTTACAATAGTGGTCAAATGGTTTGGTATGCAATCAAATAGTCGGTATGTCCAGGAGAAGAAGAGGCTCGAAATCCGGGGAGGGGAGGAGGCATATATCTTGCCCCCCTTGACCTTGAATCGCTGACGTCGACCATGTATGCGGCAATGACGGTCTGTCCTGCCTTGCTTCACCCCCATTCAGCCAGATTCACCTCCATCTTTCCCCTATATTAGTCTGGATCGTCCCTTAACCATAGTACAGCAGCCCTGATGAATGGTGGTACTGGTGTACATGACGTCGTCCATGGAGGGGGAATGATGTCATACATCTACAACTTTTAGCTTCCAAACGTTTGGGCCACAATTTTCACGCGGGGTAGGATTCTCCGTGCTCCGGATGTCCCAACCTCAGCCAACACACTTAAAAATTACTGTTCTCTGTGGGATGAGGTAAAAGGGGCACGAACAATTGCAAAAGGGATGTGTATCTATTAATTTTAGGCTACATTTATCAAATAAAGTTGACTCCATAATTTTTCGTTGCTCGTGACAAAGTGCAATTATAGCACGACGATGCGGCCTCCCACAATTATCTACGTGCAATGCTCCGTTCCATCATCATGAGTATGGCACTCCTTTCCAGCTCCGCCTCCAGTTGCTGTAGCTACCGGGGCAGCAGCAGTCGTGGACACAGGAATAACCCTCGTTGGATTAACTGACGTGGCAGCAGCACCAGCAGCAGAGCTAGTCGCGCTCGCATCGTGATCATGATCGTGATCATGTTCCTCCTCGACCACCTTGCCAGCACATCCCTCGCCCGGAACCGAGATATCATACGCATACGCCTCAAGCGCGAAATACGACAGCGACGCGCTGTTCCTCGCAGCGTCGGTGCGGTTTGCGCCCACCGCCAGTTCCAGAAGCTCAGAGTACCCGTCGGCGTAGTGGCCGATTTCATCTTCGCCGACAGCCGGGACGTGGTATAGGCGGTGCATGAGATCCGCGGCCCAGTAGTCGTTGGTGCGACCCGTTGCCATGTCAAAGCCACGAGCGCAGAGGGCTGTTAGGGGACGACGGGTTGTGTATGAGAGGGGGCAGATGACAGTCTCCGAAGTGGCGTTGGATCCTCTGTGGTGTCCTGCCCAGCCTGTGGTTTGTGTTAGAGAGGTCTGCATTGAAGACAAGACGACAACTTACCATCCTGGGTTACGCAGTTCTTATCTGGGTCGTCGCAGCGGAATATAACACCAGCACGGTTCGCGGTGGCGATCTTGTCCAACCATCCGATGACAGGGCCGGTTGGGCCTTGTCCGAAGTACTTCTGGAAGACCTTGGAGCTGTTGCGGTGGATGAGGACTAAAGAATGGTTAGCATTGATGTGCGAAGGAGTCATGTCACATTATCACAGAGGAGTGATAACGTGACGACGGTGCGTCCATACTATGTTCCTTTGCATGCTTTGCGATGGTCACAGCTTGCTCGAGGCCAGATGTGATCTCATGGCGCTCGGTGGAGTTGCAAGATGGGTGGATGATGAATTGAGACTCGTAACCTGAGCTCCAGTCATAGACAGGAGGGGCAGTTGAGCTTGCAAGAGCCGGGGAGGTAGATGTGAAGGGAGACTCCGAGCTGCCAACGGGTAAAGCTGCTGCTTGGAGAGCTTGGAGAGATACCCCGACGAGAACCGAAGAAAGACGCATTTTTAAGGGCGGATAGGAATTGATAGACGGAGCTTGTACGGGTTGAGATGGCAGCTTCCAACGAGATCTGCGAAGGGCAGGAGGAGCTGTTTATATACCCAAGGATCAAGCTGCATACTCAGCTGCACTCCTCAGATCCATTCCGCTCTACAGTCCATATATCCCAATCACTCCACTCCATTCTCTCTCACAGCCTCATGCCATTCCTCCTATTGAGGAAAGATCGTATGTATCAAAAATTATAAACGGATTGATACCTTGTTGGACAGTGGGTCAATTGCGTGACACCCACGTTCTACTCGCCTGTTAACATATACACCCGGGTTACGTTGACAGGCGCGCTAAGGCGGTAGTTCCGCTAGTAGTACCGCAACCTCATAGGCGTGCTAACCTCGTGGTAACGTCTTACCTGTGCCAATCCCCCCCACGCACAGCTTCATACGTAGAATCCCAAGAAATGCCTATGCTTGGCTGAGCGGACACTTCAATTCCTTTGCCATTATGATCCAATTAGATATAATAGCATATAATCGGTTACGATTATACGCACAAACGAGAACTGAAAATATTATCCATCAAGGTGTCCTACCAAGACTGGCCAAGCGACAAAACTGCACTTGGCGGGAAGGTGTTGGAGTTGATTAGGGTATAGCTCATAAATATCCCAAAGTGAGCGAGTTTGTTTGTTAGGTTTACGCTTTACATGCTGTACATTTACTGGTCGGAAGAGAGTGGGGGTTGAATCATCGTATGTTGGACCCTTTTTCATCAATCCTTCCGAAGTCGACCCTTTTCCTTCTCTGTAGACCACTTTTTATAAGATGAAAACGTGTTCCGCCTGAGAATTTTCCTTCCTACATCCGAATCCAAATCCATCTCTTTCACATCTGTCAAGTCTGCGTTTGTCAGACAAGATGTTTTCGAAACCCCTGACGATCGCTGCGGTGGTCCTTCAATGCTTGGCCCTGCCAGCCATTGCTCAGGTCACTCTGACCGGCTGTCACTTGCACGATGGTGTTGAGTAAGCCTTCCCTCCCCCTCTTCTTCGGTTGCTCTATTGCCAAGCCTGTCTTTGCAAATGTAGTAAGGGCTAACATCAACCTCTAGACATTGTTTTCTCCCCAACGGCGAGGAGACTGAAATCGGCCGTCCGACGAGCTCTTTAGTTAGCGCGTCTCCTACTGCGCCGACCTCTGTGGCTGCGACGACGACAGCTGCTGCGCAGACAACTGCTATCACAGGCTGCCATAGTCATGAGACAACACAGTAAGTGACATCTCCTATCCTGTCTTCAAGAGGACAATACTGACGGTAGACAGATTTTGTATCAAGGGCAATGGAGAAGAAGTCCAGGTGATGGCTACCCAGACTGGAAACACTCCTTTACCGACAGCATACAATGGATGTCATTCGCACGGCGCAGAGATGTAAGTTACTATTGTTAATGTTTATTATCTTATCGAGCCTCCTATCCAATGATCCATTGAAGACATAATCCTATCACCACCCTCAACGAACAGAAGCTAATACATTAAAGGTTCTGCATCGCCCCCGACGGAGCCGAGGTGGAGGTGGTAGCTGCTGGAGCTGAAGGAGAGCACACAGACGAACATGCGGGAGAATCCGCCGCAGGGGCATCTGGAGAAAGTTGTCACTTCCATGCTGGTGTAGAGTAAGTCAAGCTGCTTGAACCACCCTGAGGAGCCTTCACTAATACATAACCCACAGACATTGTGTAGGAGGGTCAGCAGAGGCTACCTGCGAGAGGAAAGATAGGGACTACAACATCAAACTTCGTATCGGACTCATCTTCCCGATGTTGTTTGCAAGCGCACTTGGTAAGAATCCAAACTCGTGGTTGGGGCGAAGAGAAATACTAACAATAAACAGCTGTGTACGCACCCCTAATCATGAAGAAGATGCTCAAGATGAACGGTTCCGGCATCGTCTTCACCATCATCAAACAATTCGGCACCGGTGTCATCATCGCCACAGGTTTCGTCCACGTACGTCTCACCCCACCTTCTAACACACCCAAAATCTAACACCCCCCAGCTCCTAACACATGCCGAACTCATGTTCGCCAACGAGTAAGCCCCCGTGCCTCCCTCCCCCGACCCTGTCCAAACTAACACCCCCCAGATGCCTAGGCAAACTAAAATACGAAGCCACCACAACCGCCATCGCCATGGCCGGCGCCTTCATAGCCTTCCTAATCGAATACCTCGGCCACCGCCTCGCCAGCTGGCGTCGCCGTACCATCACCTCCCAAGCCCTCTCCGCTTCCACCCCCAAAGAAGAGGCCGGCGCTGCTCAAGCAGGTGAGATTATAAAAGGGCACCCCTCGCACAGCGACTCTGACTCCCCCGGCCTCGCGGCACTGAGCCACCATTACAATACCGAGCCTTGCTCGGAGGTGAACCCGAATGATACGATGACGGTGCTGGTTCTGGAGGCGGGTATTATTTTCCACTCGATCTTGTTGGGGATTACCTTGATTGTCGCGGGGGACTCGGTGTTTATTACCTTATTCATCGTCATCCTCTTCCACCAAATGTTCGAAGGTCTCGCTCTCGGTGCCCGAATCGCTGCACTCGACCCCACCCCCTCAGATGGCGAGAACACCGTCTCAGCCTGGCGCAAGACGAAGAACTGGGCTATGCCTCTCACCTTCGCCGTCATTACACCCATTGGCATGGCTATTGGAATCGGCGTTTTGCATAAATTCAATGGGAATAACCCGTCTACGATTATTGCCTTGGGGACGCTTGATGCGCTGTCTGCCGGGATTTTGATCTGGGTTGGTTTGGTCAGTATGTGGGCGCACGATTGGTTGTTTGGCGAGTTGAAGGATGCGCCGCTTGTGAGGACGGTGGTTGCCGGTGTGAGTTTGGTGTGTGGACTGGTGTTAATGGGGGTGCTTGGGAAATGGGCGTAAGGAATTGGTTTTGGGAAATGGGTAAAAATTTGGGAAATAAAGCCGGGATAAAGGGGGAGGCATTAATTTGGGAGTTAACTTTATGAAGGACAGGGAATTTAAATACTCTTCTACGGGGTATTAGTAGGTAGCATTCAAGCTAGATGGAATCGCATTTCCGAATCGGCTAACAAGAGCAAAAATCATTCTATTCCATTGACTCCAAAAGCCCATTCCGGTTGAACAGCGCCTAACCGAAAATGAGGCAGCTGAGACGAGAGGAAGGCATGGTCATCATCTTTATTTTCCCTCATCGCCAGTCAGTTTCCTCCTCAGCGCTGCCATCTCTCTGTTTCCAAACCAGGCGTACGCACGACTGTGTGTTAAGGCGCACATATCCTTCGGTTGACCCAGCACATGCAAATGCGCTGGCGAACGACCAAGTACGGATAGGGGAGCGGCGAGGAAGTTATATTCCCGGTTACCCCTTTTTCTCGCCACCGTCGCGTTTTCTGTCACCGAGAGAGTCACTCACTGTTGCCGCATTTTTCTTGTCGTCGCCTTGTTTTCCCGCTACTGATGCCGTTCGTCTGTCCTGCTTCATCGTGGCCATTCACCCTGACATCGCATCGCAACATATGGCCAGTCAGTTTCCACTGGTCCCATTCACAGGGCCATCAAAGTCTACTGAATGGTTGCATATATCTGATTAAGCCCACATCATAGAATCAGGAGAATATATATAACAACCCCCCTTCCCCCGTATCCGTGATAAACTGTTCCTAACAATTCCTAGCGCTTTTCCGCCGTTCAAATCTCTCCTATAAACTCCGCTGATATCAAGATTTCACAGCCGGAAGCAGATGCACGAAAATAGGTTTAACGGGGGGACACACCCGACGCCAACCTTTTCCTTCATCATTAGCTACAAAGAAATGAACTACCCGTCATAATCACCATAATTTTCTCGACATCTCTGACTGACATACCCCCCCACCCCCCCTTCCCCCCTTACTCCCACCTCCCCGCCCTCACAACCCCCCCAAACCCAACCCACCTCTTAACCCTCTTCACAACCTTCTCCACCCCCCCTCCCCCCACCCTATGCACCCGAAACGCCTCCCCAATCCCCTCCAAACTCCTCCCCTTCGTCTCTGGCATAAAAAGCACACACACCACAAGCGTCAGTGTACTCGCGCCCCCAAACAAAAAATAAACCGCTGAACTCGACCTCGCCAACAGCACCGGCGTCACAAACGCAACCCCAAAATTCGTAATACTATTCGCCGCCTGCCCGAGACTAGTGGCCGTCGCGCGACTGGCTATGGGTTGGATTTCGCAGGCGAAGATCTTGAATCCCACAGCCCAGGACATGCAGTATGCTAGGACGAAGATGTAGATCGTTACGATGACTACCCAGCGGCCTGCACCAGACGTAGCATGCACAGAATCACTAGCGTATAAACTCCCAATCAACGCCATAGACGCACAGATCACCACACCCCCCCACAGCGTCGACGCGCGCCTGCCCCAGATATCGGATAACAGAATCGCCGGAATCGTCGACACGAAGATGAGAATCGCTGACACCCCCGAAGCTAAGAAACTCGCCTCCGCTGACGAAATCCCCGCTTGTCGGAAGAGGAGGGGGGCGTAGTAAAGCACCCCATCGATCCCACTAAGCTGCTGCATAGCCATCATAAACACCCCCAAGACCATCTGTCTCCGTCCCTCCCTCCCGAATACCGAAGTGCTCTTCTCGCCATTCCGGCGCAGGCGGGCGAGGAACCCCGTATCGAGCGCTGTGGTGTGCACAGCGGGTAACTCAGCAAGTTCATTCGACTCCGCAACCATCGCCTCCGGATTCTCTAATAAATCCTTCTCCCTCTCCGCCGCCGACACCCCGAGAAGATCCCACACCCTACTCGCTTCCTCCCTGCGCCCCTTATGCGCCAACCACCTCGGCGAATGCGGCAACCACACCGCACTTGCCGCCGCCCCTATAGTAGCAATAGCAGCCTGCAACGCCAACGGCAGCCTCCACGAGAGGGAAGAGGCGATATTAACAGTACCGTAGCAGATGAAATACCCCACCATAATCCCCATACATATGAGTAACTGCACCGACGACGCCAGCGGGCCGCGTTTACTCGGCGGGCTGATCTCGCAGATATACACAACCAACGTACTGAAATTCGTGCCCTGTCCCAAGCCCGCTATACAGCGCCCTGCTATAAACATAGCCAGCGTCACGGAACTAGCTTCGATCGCAGCGCCGATAGCGAAGAGGCACGCGCCGATAACGATGGTCCTGGGACGACCGATGCGGTCGGAGATTGCGCCGCCGAAGAGGGAAGCGAGGGTTGTGGTTAGGAGGACTGAAGAGACGACGAGACCGTGCATGGTAGATGATAATGCCCCAAACGTTGCGGCGAAGGAGGACATTGCTGTTACGGGGCCGATTGTACCGGTGTCGAGGCTGGGGGTTTGTGTTAATGAGATATTTGGTAATGGACTGTGGGGGGAAGGGTGGCATACCCATTGAGGAGTCCTACCATTGCTACGATGCCGCAGGCGACGAGGTAGCGGGGGGGAGACTTGATGGTTTGCCAGGTGGCTGAGATGCGTTCTATGGTGGGCATTTTCCTGATATTCGAAGCAGCAGCAGGAAAGTGATAAAAACGTGAACGGTATTGCGTGAGTATCACAAATTTAAGAAACAACCAGCTCATCAGCATAGTCTTATATCAAGACCTCATACCCCCCCTTCCCCCCTCCGGGCGTCCCCCCAAATCCACCCAAAAATAGGTAAGCATCGCATTTCAAAGCAAAGCAAACCCAATTCTTTGTAATAAAATCCTACCCATCCTACCTATGACACAAGAGCTCCAAGCACTTAAACACCATCAAAACCCCAAAATCGCAGCAAGACCTGCAGAAAGTCCGGAGTGGGGTGCCCCGACCTCAGCGAACGGACCCAATGGCGGGAGCTACCCGCAGGGCGTAAAGGATTTGTGTGTGTGGTGGTGTTGTGTGACACACTCATAAGGGTCTAGCCGCGTTCTAGAACTCCGGATTTCAAAACACCGAAGTCAAACTATGAGAAAAATCCTTCATACCATATCAGATTATACGATATGATTTCCTTTGTATAAATATATAGCCCAGGCTAATAATATGTACAGTAACACCTGGAAAACTGTCGAGAAAACAAAAAAAAAATAGAACACATAACATAAAAAAACACCCCCTACCCTCCTACCCCCATTCTATGCCCTCCCTCCCCCATCATGATCGATGCCGATGCCCCTCCCTACCTCCCTAGCCTAGCCCAATGTTAATTAAAACAAACAAATGAAAGACCCCCTCCCAAATTCAACGCCTGGTATTTTGCCCATCCGACGCCTGTCAAATATGATATATGTCCATGAAAGATGGGCGGCGCAAAGGCCCCCATCCCAGAAATGAAATTTACAATCCCTCCCTCTACCCGTAGTCTTCCAGGTGCCTTCACGAAGTCTTCACAACCCATAATAACAACCCCACCCCGTCTAACCATGCAGCGCAACACCCTCCATAATACCCGCCCCCGCTCCCCTCCCCCTCCCCCCAACAACCTCCTCATACCTCGGCACCTCCCCGCGGCCAGCAACATACATATACCCCGGCGGCGGCTTCCCGGCCTCCCCATACACCGGCGGCGCCTCCTCGTCCCACGCCACCCCCCCTTCCTCCCGCTCCGTCACAACAGGGTAGAAGCGCATCCTCAGCAGGCGCGTGCCTGCTTTACTCTCGACCAGCAGCTCCACGACGAGGGCGTGCGCGGTCTCGGTCCCGTCTTCGGTCTTGACGTCGCATAGCGCCGTGTTATTGGGTGCGATGCCGAAGGTGAAGTCGAGGGTTGTGGTGGAGGAGGTCGGGGTGGCCCAGCCGCTTGTTAGTTCTGCGGAGCCGAGGGTGCAGAAGGAGGAGCGGACGACGCCTTTTAGGTAGCCGGCGCGCGGTGTGTGTCGGCGGCACGAGGGCGCGAAGACGGTTTGGGTTTCGTCGAGGCGCCAGTTAACGCGCTTGAGGACGATGTTGTTCATACCGCTGAGTTTTAAGGCGCCGTTGAAGGAGCCTGTGGGGTGGATCAGCGGCGGGAGAGCGAGGTGTGCGGAGATGCTGGTTGGAGGGAAGTCGCGGATGTAGTGGCGCGGGTAGAGTGGGGGACGGATAGCGCGGCGGACGGAGAGGGGGTGGGAGAGGTGGAGGGGCGCGGTGTTGGTGGGTGTGAGGAGGGCGCGGAGGGTGTAGGTTACGGAGGAGAGGGAACTGTGGGTGCAGACTTGGTATTGGCCTGGGAGGAGGAAGGAGAAGGGGAATAGGTGTTCGCCTGGGTTGGTGTTAGTTGGGGTTGTGGTAGGGAGGGATGGGAAAGGGCTTACCCTTTCCGAGGATGGTGGTGTCGGGGAGGAAGTTCCATGATGTGAGGTCGGAGGACTTGGTTGCGCAATCGGGGCAGGTGGCGTTGTAGGGTTTCTTCATGTTGACGTCGACTGCGAGACGCATGGCGAAGCCTTGGATCTCCATCTCATCGTCTCCGACATCGAGCTTCAGCTGACCGGACAGCAGGGCACCTGTACTTGTCGATGCGCCGCCATAGAAGACGAGCGGGGGCGACTCGATGTTGATGGAGAGGGTGGTTATGTTTTCGTAATGCCTCTCGAGGATGGGCTGGGAGATGAGTGTGTCGATGCGGTATGGCGATGGGCAGGATGAGTGGTCAAAGTTGCTGGTGGACGAGGAGACGGAGGCGCGTGACGAGGGGACCGTGAGGTGAGTTGAGGAGCTGGCGATGGTATCTGCGATCGTGTCGGTTTCGCCGGAGGTGTCGATGGAGGGGGAGTAGTGTGGGGAGGAGGAGCGGAAGAAGTATGGGAGCGGCATGGTGGGTGGTGGGATGGAGGGTAGGCGTGTGGGAGTATGTCGTGTATTCTTCGGAGAATATAGTGATGACTCAATGCCGATATTTGGGTGTGTATGTTTGTCGAGGTATGTGAGGCTGGCTCAATGTATGGAATAGATTGTTTCGTGTGTGTATGATCGACTCGATGCTGTTTTGCTTTCGTGAATATGTAGTTGACTCAATGAAGATAGTGTGTATATGCAGTTGAGTGGGCGGCGCAGATAAGGATCTGGTTTCCTTTTGCGACGATGAAAGAGAATCGAATCAATTGAAATCTATCGTATGTTTATCAAGATGTATGTATTGAGAATCGACCCAGAGATGAGGAGAAGATAAGGGCCGAGGCAAGTTAATCGGTCGTTGTCGTCGTCGTGTGTGGTCGCCGGGGCGCGTTCATATAAAGACAGGATCAACCCCGTCACTCTCCGTCGTCAGTCACAGTCGTCGTCAATAACACTCTTCTGACTCAGACCAGCAACAACTCTCTTTGCCGTTCCCACTTCCTTCTCTCCGTCCGGCGTCAGAGCTAACCAGGTCGTTCTCCTCAATCCCCGTCGAGTCCAGTCCCAGTCCGATCCAACGCAAACCCTTTTTTTCCCGGCGTTACGAGGGTGTCTGCTTGCTAAAAGCGAAGAAGTGGAGAATTGCCGAAACAGTTCACTCCATAGTGTGGTTAACCGCGACAAATGCACGGCTGGATCGATAAAATAGAAGAGGGAGAGACGTAGTAGGAAGAAGGAAACGTCAAAACGCAGTCACAAGTGGAGTGGGGACAAGATACTCTCTTTATAAACCACCTCCCCCACCCCTTCTGCCCCTTCCCTCCTTGGACCGACCCCCTCGACCCCCCCCCCCTCCCCCTTCCACCACCCCCCCCTCCTCCACCTCCACCCCATCAGCCATCATCTCCGTCCACCTCCCCCTCAAGGATATGGTAGTCGCGTCTAGGGAAAGGCACACACGCACTACACCTTGAGGGATGATGGATGGGGAAGGCACGGATGACAAAAACGACCAAGCACCTTCCCTAAGTCCCCTACGGCCTAAACCCTGCATGGGTGCGGCCCCAATCACAGAAATGGTATTTCCGGCTAACACGCGCCGTTCGTTCCCCATTGGCACAGATCGGCCGGAATGGGTGGTTCGCTGAACAGGGAAGGACGGATGGGCCGGTGGTAGGTAGGTAGGTGGGTTGCGGGATAACAACGTGTGGGCAGCGTGTACGGACTGCCCAGACAGTATGTAGAATACAGTATGTATTGTACTGTGTAAATATGTATAATATGTACAGCATAGAATGCGCCCAGAGATGGAACACGGGCCAGGTGGCGATGGAGCCGAGTTAACTATTCAATAGTATGGTACATATGGATATCGGAGGTAAGTTGGGGACGAAAGAGACGAAGGGGAAGCCTCGTACCAAGCAGCTACAGCAAGCCAAGCATCCAAGCATCAAGCTGTCAGAAAGGGCTGGAGGTGAGTGGAGTTTGGGAAGGGATTAGGAGGGATTAGGAGTGTTTAGGAGGGAATTGAAGCACCGGTACCGGGTGGTGGTCTAGGATGGGAAGGACGTTAGTTGGGGTTTAGTGGAGTTTAGTGGAGTTTAGTGGAGTTTAGTGGAGTGTGGTGGAGTTTAGGGGAGTTTAGTGGTTTAGTGGAGAGAGTTTTAGTGGGGAGGAGGAGGGAAGGGAAGGAGTGAAAGAGGTGGAAGGGGTGGGAAGATTAGTAAGCTGGATTGTGAAGGGTGGGAAGGGTAGGAAGGAAGGGTATGAAGATGACAGGTATGAAGGGCTGGTGCCTGGGAATGGGGAAGGGTTTTGGTGATGGGGGCCTGGGATATAAGGTGTGAAGTGTGAGGTGTGAGTGTTAGTGGCTGTATGGTACAGTAGTGGTTGTATGGTACAGTATGCAGAAATAGAGTAATGTAATGAAGTCAATACAGTAATACAGTAATACAACAATACAGTAATAAAGTAGTAGGTGAGTCAGACCATGAAGCTGGAATGGGATGGCATAGAGCGAGTGTCGTCAGCCTAGAATACTAGAGGAAAAGGGACGGGATAGATGGGAATGGGGAGTGGTGGAGATGGGATTGGCGTGGTAATGGGGCTGTGATGTGTGATGGGGGTGTAATGAGGATGTAATGGGGATTGTACTGGACGGGTGGATTAATGGTAGGATGGGGTTTGTATTAGTGGGTGAATGGGGGACTGATGGGATTGATGGGGAGGGTGGATGTTGGTGCGGAAGGCCCTGTCGATGGCCTGTCGCTGTCTCGCCGATGGGTGATTGATGACCCGTGCGGTACCGGCATTGACTCCTGGCGGGCACTCGATTAGTGATGGGGATTAGTTGATATCAGCCATGGTCAGCCATGGGCATTGGTGATTGGCGTTTTTGTGGTTTGTGCCGTTTGTACTGTACATCATATCTACGACAAGTAGAGTTTGGTACGCTGCTATACGCTCCTATACGCTCCTACTGTATACGTACATACGATATACGAAACGAGGCGTCGTCCTTGCTTTTATTTGACAGCTTGGAGTACATACATCCCTTTTGACAGCTACCTTCGCTTCACCAGCTACTTCCTTCACACAGCCTCATCTCTGACAGCTCTTTCCCCTTCGCTAGCAGTCAAGTCAGCTGCCATTCACGTGCCATTTCTTCATCACGCCATCACCCCTTATCATCCCTCCCCGTATCTCTCCGTCCCCTTCCCCTTCTTCCCCTTCCCCTTCCCTACACCCATCCCCCAACCCACACCACACACCACCACCCACGGAGAAAATTCAAAAAAACGCGTACGCCCATGTCAATCCTCAGACGTACGTTGCACCTACCACCACCCCAACACACACCCACCCACCACGCCCCATCACACACCTACCACACCTACCACACACACCCCAACCCCCCCACTAACCTAACACAAAAAATAAGCTTTCCGCCGATCCCCCCTGTGCTCGCCGACCTCATGGCCGCACCCCTGTTCTGCGTGGTTATGTGGTAGGTGGTGGTGGTGGGTGGTGGTCCCAGCCCGGTGTGTCTTCGGCAGTCTAGTTGAGGGGATAGAGTGGTGTGGTGTGCAGTTCTGGTAAGGTGTGCAGAGTTCTGGTTCTAGTAATAGTAAGCATACCCAGTTCTAGATCCAGATCTGAAGCCTCGGTGACTCAGGAAGTCGTTAGGGCAGGGCCGAGATCTCCGATGAAGTGGTACTGTACGCGAGACGATGCGAATGGATGCGAGTACGAATTTCTTGGTATGTAAGCACGCATCAAAAACACACCGGCCGGTGAGGATGTCAAGATGGCGCACGAGGAGTCATGCACGCAGTCTCTTCCCTTCTAACAATAGAACAAGGGCACCCATAGAATAATAGAGTCACAAGCCACAATCCCAAGGCAGCAGCATCACCAGCAGCAGTAGTAGCTACCCCATACAGACAGAGCCCCATCCATCATCCCATCCCAACCCATCCATCACCCCCATCCATCACCCATCCATCATCCCAACCCAACCCCCCAACCTGCCACATGCCCCCCGCCTACAACCAATACACAATACACACCGCACCACAAACTGTATCCCACAGGGCGTACACAGGGCGCGTCCAGCTTACCAACCCTCCTGCCCTGCCCATCCCCGTGCTCGAATCTCACGTACGTCGCACGTCCCGCCCTGACGCCATCACCCTTGCCATACCCATCGCGCGCGACTATCACTTCAGTACTTCAGTCTTGGGGGGAAGATGCTTGATATTTCCAATCCGAGGCTTATTTCCACTCCCCATCCTCCCTCGCTTTCTAATCCTGCAATTCGGGGGGGGATTAATCAGCAATCCGAGCCGCATACCACGTTCCCTCTCCCCCCATCTTTCCCCAACCCACTTCGGATGAATACATCAAACCCAGCCCCGTCTACCCACTACGGATGAAATACTAGCTAACCAACATCAAACCCCACCCCGAATAACACCCGTACATACGGCAGTACGGGAAGATGAAAAAGAACGGACTTCACGTGCCGGATCACTCGACTCGGTATAGCTGTCCCGATACCGGCGCGTAGGGAGCGGGTCAAGCGCGCGAAGCGGCGTGGATGCAGGGGGTTGTGGGGGGGTGGGATGGGGTGATGATAGTCCGGGCTGCGGGTTATGTGGTGGGTCGGTCTGTCGGTCGGTGTTGGTGGTTTTGGTTTTGGTGGTTTTGGGTGTATGCGTCATTGTTTTCCAACCGAGTTTTGCTGTAGCAATAGAATCGCGGAGGGAAGGTAGGTCTGGGAGGTGGGCTCGGTAGGTTCGGTATGCTCGGCGTGTGATATCCCTTGGGATAGTGGGATTATTGTGTTTTTTTTTTGCTGCAAGCATTACAGAGAGGCTAGCTAGGTTGGGTCGTTTTTTTTTCTCGGTCATCTTCTCATTCTAACTTACCTCGGTCTCACTCACTCTCCGTGTTGGCTGTGATATCCATGTATCCGACAGCTCTGCCCAACCCCTTCATCTCCATCAGCTATTCCACCACGGCGACTACTTCAGGACACCGCGGTATGCCAAAAATGAACCCATAACCCCATAACCCTTTTACCCCTTTTCCCCATAGCCAATATATCATCATAGCATGCGAGCACAGCGGCGAACCGCTTCGGGACGCCGCGACGCGGCTGGGGCGGCTAATCCGGGAATAAGATGGGATATAAGAGTTGGGGGTGGTTCGCTTTTGTTGTCAATACGCACGGGATACTGAATGAGAAAAGGACCTATCAGGGATGTTTGACCTCGTAACTGTTGACATGAATTTTGTGAAGGGGAGGAGATAAGGGGATGGAGAGGTGGCGTGGAGGGGTTGTTTCTCTTGTTAACTGCGGCTCTGTTTTCTTGTACGGCGTGGTCGGTGGTGAGATGGGGGGTGGTGAGAAAGGGGAAGCGGTGACGAGAAAAAAAAAGCCCTCACTGTAAGCTGACGGCTACAGGAAATGTTCT